TTGAACTCAAGGGTATATCATCAGCAACATGTTATATTCTCAGTCTTCTGTGAACTTTTCTTAACCTTCTATAACCAGAATACGGCTTCTTAAATGGTGGTTCTTTTTTTCTCCCATATCCCACATTATTGGACCTAGAGATGAAATAATGTGCTCTTGTGTCCCTCATTGCTGTTTCAGGCCATTTTCCTTCCTTCTCTTTAACAGAACCCATCCCCTGCCCCAGCTTCTTTGAAGTATGTGCTGTAAAACTTTTATCAGTCCCTTGTTCACTCTTTTCGTGGTCACATAGAATACAACATAGTCATGGCCTTGCATTACTATTGAAGTGTTTAATATCTGTTATTTCTTCCTCTGCTACTACCTCTGTCATCAACCCTGGTGACACCAACATCCATATAGATGATCCATCCAGTCCCCTTGAATTCTTTTTTTTTTTTTTAAGTTTATTTATATTGATAGACCTAGGGAGGGGCAGAGAGAGTGAGAGAGAATTCTAAGCAGGTTCTGCACTGTTGGTGTGGAGCCTGACACAGGAATCGACCTCACAAACTGTGAGATTATGACCTGAGCTGAAGCCAAGAGTTGGACACCCAGCTGATGAGCCACCCAGGTGCCTCCAGCTTCCTTAAATTCTTGATTTTAAGTGACCATTCCCTTACCCTCTACTCTAGTCACACTCATACCTTGTCTTTGTCAGTACATGCACTAGATTTTCACTATCAAACATCCTGCTCTCATCAACTCCTGTCTTTCTAGATCATTCTGCCCCTAGCACTCTTCTCCTTCCCTCATCATCAATACTGCACCTTACTAAGGCAACCTTTAGTCCCTCAACTCTCTTGTCTCCATTTCTCTCTACTTTACAAAAATTCCATGGCCCTATTATAACCATTCCCTTGATTTAACTCTCAGTTCTCTGTTGGTTTTCCCTCTGTCCTCCTTTAACAAAGTTGTGACCCTAGTTAAAATCGACTCTTCTTTGGTTTTATGCCTATACCTAAGAAGCAACAGGTGGCTGGAACAAAACGCATAACGATGCTGTCTGGTCTCATTTTAAATTTGACAACAAACTTCAGGTGGGCTCTCAGTATTGCACATCAGTCCTGCTACACTTGACTTGTCAATCCACCCTATACTTTGACTTTTATAGAATAATATTTCATGCTTTTTCTCCCTTAACATGTCCAAATCTTTCTCTTCCTCATTTTCAACTTATTGAGAACCTCATATTCCCATTAGCAAATATGCCAATCTACTTACTGCTTTATCCATGTATTCTGCTTTCCTTTCTTTTATAATGGATGAATAATATGTGCTCCCTTTTAATTTTTTTAATGTTTATTTAGTTTTGAGAGAGAGACAGGGTGCATGTAAGGGAGGAACAGAGAGAGAGGGATACACAGAATCTGAAGCAGGCACCAGGCTTTGAGCTGTCAGCACAGAGCCTGACGCAGGGCTTGAACTAACAAACCGTGAGATCATGACCAGAGCCAAAGTCGAAGTCTCGGACACTCAACCTACTGAGCCACCCAGGTGCCCTTTGTGCTCCCTTTTCAAGGCCAGTTAATTTCCTTTTACCACCTGAAAGACTTTGTCCCTCTATTATCCCCTCAATTGTTTCTTCTCTTTTGGATCATTCCATTAGCATATAAACATGCTGAACCATGGCTTCCTTTTTTTTTTTTTAAGTGTATTTATTATTTTGAGAGAGGGAGAGAAAGAGAGAGCACAAGCAGGGGAGGGGCAGAGAGAGACCAGAGAGAGAATCCCAAACAGGTTCCTCACTGTCAGTGCAGAGCCCGGCATGGGGCTCAAACCCACAAACCATAAGATCATGACCTGAGCTGAAGCCAAGGGATGCTTAACTGACTAAACCACCCAGGTGTCCCATTATTTTAAAAAAGTTTATTTATTTTGAGGGGGCGCCTGGGTGGCTCAGTCGGTTGAGCGTTCGACTTTGGCTCAGATCATGATCTCACGGTTTGTTAATTCAAGCCCTACATCGGGCTCTGTGCTGACAGCCAGCTCAGAGCCTGGAGTCTGTTTCACATTCTGTGTCTCCCTCTCTCTCTGACCCTCCCCTGCTCACGCTTCTCTCTCTCTCTTTCTCTAAGAAATAAAACATTTTTTAAAAAGTTTGTTTATTTTGAGAGAGAGAGTACACAACAAGGGAGCGGCAAGGCCTGCATTTAAAAAAAAACACGTAAAGACCAAGTCCATCTTCCTTTCACTCCTATCCCGTTTCATCTACCATCCCAATTTTTGTTTTTATTTACTACAGAAGCACCTTGAAAGAGTTACATGTATTCACAGTTTTCATTTCTTCTCATTCCTCTTAAATATGTTCCACTTTGGACATTTATCACCACTCCATTAAAGTTGTCCTTTTTAGGCTCACCAGTAATCTCCATATCACTAAACCCAATTATTATTATTTCTTATTATTCTGTTGCTTATAAGGGTTTAACACAGTGAATCAGAACATCCTTCTTAAAATGTATCACTTTTTTTTTTTTTAATTCCAGGATATTTCACTCATGATTTTCTACTATGTCACCGGCCATTTTTCTCATTCCTCTTTCCTCCTTCCTCTTGTCACAACCTGTAAATGTTGGAATTCCCCAAAATCAGTCTTAGAAGCGCATTCTCTAGTACCTACTCATACTTGCAAGACTATATATCCAGTGCTATAGCTTTAAATTCCATTTTTCTGCTGATAGTTCCCAAATACATATCTCCAGTCCAAAACATTCTCCTGAACCCCACACTCACATATTCAGATATCTGTATGACTTTTCCATTGAGATCTAATAGGCATCTCAGATTTAATATGTCAAAAACTAAACTCTTCATTTCTTCCCCCTCGCCCCCCAACTTTTCTGTTTTGTTCCCATATTGGTACATAGTAGTACCATTTCCCCATATACTCAGGTTAAAAACTTTAGATTCATTTGAGACTCTTGTTTTACTTTTATACTCCACATCCAACCTGTGAGGAGATCTCTGCTGTCCTGAATTTAGCCACTTCTCACTATTCAATCACTACCTAGTAGTCCAGAGCACTATAATCTCTTGGATTACTACAACAGACTAATGGTCTCCCTGCTTCCTCTTTTGCCTCCCTCTCCAGACAAGCAGCCAGAATCTTTATATAGTCCGACTTCTACCTAGCAGCCCCTTTAAATATTAAATCATGTCACTACTCTGCTCAATATCCTCCAGTAACTTTTTGTCTCAAGAGAAAACCCTAAGCCTTTACCATAGTTTATAAGACTACATAATTCAGTCCTGTACATGCTTAACCTTATCTCTTATTACTCCTTGCTCTCTTGATTACTCCTTTCAAGCTGCTGTGACCTCCATGCTATCGACTTCGGGCCTTTGTACCTGTTCTCTTTGCCTGGAAGAGTCTACTCCCAGATACCCATATGGCTTATTCCTTACTTTATTCATTTCTCTGTTCCAAGACCTTCCATGACTAAGTAAGCCTGCCTTGTACTTATTTTTGATAATTATCACTGCCAGACATTATTTGTCCATTTGTTTGGAGGTAACCATCACCACTTGACTTGATTCCACACATCCAATCTCCTTTCCAACCCTGTGCTTATACATGCATGCATATACACATTACACATTTGCTCTCATAGGGTGGCCATTTTGTTTTGTTTCTTGCTAAAACCCACTGCCTAAAACAGTGCCTGGCACATAGTAGAGCTCAATAAATATTTGCTGAATGACTATAAATGAACATTTTGATATTTTACGTAAACAAGATGGTAAAAGATTCTAGAGCCAGAATTCCCAAATTTTTAACCCATCCGTGCCCCTCACCAGCTGTGTGTGACATGGACAAGTTATTTAACTAGACTCTATAGTTTTTCTTTGTCTATAAAATGAGGATAATATTACCTACCTCCCAGTGTTACAAGGTTAACATGAGTCATAGAATCTAAGGTGCTTGAAACACTGCCTAGTATTTTTTTTAATTTTTAATACCATCTCCATCTGTCTGTTCTTTGATTAATCTTAGATAGTTCCAGATGTGGAAGCATTAAAAAGGAAAAAGCGGGGTTCCTGGCTGGCTCAGTTAGTTAAGCTTCTGACTTCGGCTCAGGTCATGGTCTCATAGTTTGTGGGTTTGAGCCCCACATCAGGCTCTGTGCTGCCAGCTCAGAGCCTAGAGCCTGTTTCAGATTCTGTGTCTCCCTTTCTCTCTGCCCCTTCCCTATTTGAACTCTCTCTCTCTCTCTCTCAAAAATAAACAAACATTAAAAAAAAAATTTTTTTTAAAGAAAAAAGAAATTTCATTGCCTGTTCCCCAAGTCTATCTGTAACTTTTGAAATGAACATAATTGAGGGGAAAAAATTAAAATGAACATACTTGAGAAGTGCAATAATTAAGAGCACTTTCCATATTTTTCTGACAGCATAAAACTACCATTGAAGAATTTATAAATGTAAGGTTTTATATGTAAAGTAAATGGCTACTCAAATTAGTTATTTTATGACTTTTGCTGAATTTCTCATCAGAAATAGTTCAATGTTAAATTGTTAGTCCATAAAAGCAATTTCTTTTTTTTAAAGGAATTTTTTTAATACAAACATTCACAGAAATTTTCTTCTACAATAGGATTTTGTCCTAAAATAAAGAATTTTCTGAGCTGTTTAGAGATTTGCTTTGGGATAGATTGCTGTTAATACAGATTCTTAGCAATCACCTTTGTAGTTTAGAAAAAACTGAAATCAACTCAAAATCAACCTTGCAAAAACAAAATGCTGTATTTTTTAGAGGATAGAGTGATGGTGAAGTATATAATACACAACTGAATCTTTTATCTTAGTTAGGTCTTTTGTCCTTAATGGTTAACTTAGAATTTTAGGTAATTTTTTTCTCCACTGTTGGAGATATTTGACATAAGAATATTTGAAGTATAATTGATTCTGGATTAGAGAACAAATTATATAAAATATATACTTCATTTTATGCTGATTAGGTGGTCCAGCTACAGGAATGGATGATTAAAGTCATCAATAATAATACTGCTATATGTGTAGAAGGAAAATTGACGTAAGTATAACATTTTAATATTCTTATAAAATTTATAACAAAATAGGATTCTTGTGTATAAGAACTAAAAGGTGGGGCGCCTAGGTGGCTCAGTCGGTTGAGCGTCCGACTTCGGCTCAGGTCATGAGCTGACAGTTTGTGGGTTCGAGCCCGTATCAGGCTCTGTGCTGACAGCTAGCTTAGAGCCTGGAGCCTGTCTTTGGATTCTGTGTCTCCCTCTCTCTCTGACCCTCCCCTGCTCACGCTGTCTCTCTCTCTCAGAAATAAAACGTTAAAAAAAAAAAAGAGCTAAAAGTAGATGCATGAAAAATAGCATCTTCCTACAAAAGACTTTCTAACAAGGTTACAGCCTAAAGACAGAAAAGTAAAATGAGTATGCAGTACCTGACCATGTTGATTGTGAACAGCTTTCTTGTTTTCGCCTGTTAAGTTACTTTTAGAATAGTAACAGCTCAAATCTATATACACAGTGCTTTATTTTTTTCGGATGTCCTAGTAAGTTGACTGGTATTCTCTGCTTAATTATATGGTTAGCTAATATTAACTACATGCATTTCAGTCCAGATTCTCACATCTAAATTGGGACAACCAGATCTAAATTACTGATCCAGAAAATGGATCAGAATTATTTAAAACTTTGCCATACAGCTACATATTAAATAATCATTGGCACTTTCTGGTTCTCCCTTAAGCGAAAGCACCATCAGGTAAGAGGGCTTTGCCTAATTCTGCTACTCTATTAGCACCATTTTCTTTTTTCCAAAACCAGTTTCTTAGTGGTAAAAAAAAAAAAAATTGTAATAAAAGGTTGTAATAAAATAATACAGGACATTACTGGTTAGGGTACTTATCTTGAAGTTTATAAGTTGATTATTTAAAATCTGCCTTCCCCACTCAATTTCTGCTTGTCTTGTGCCCATTTCCTTAACATCAAAGAGGCAGTCCGTGTTGCCTTTGTTGGAATCCCTGTTGCTGCTATCTTCTAAGCTTTATGACCTGGACAAATTATTTATCCTTTTTCAGTCTTAGTCTTCCTCTGCACAGTGGTGATAATAATATTACCTATTCTTTGGGTTATTTTGAGTATTAAATTAATTAATATTTGTAAGACTTGAAAACAATGCTTTTAGAGTGCTATTTAAATGTTAAACAAAAAGGAACAAGATTACTGTGTCAAAATATGTAGGCGTTTAATCCCATTTGACCAAATGAAAGGAATTCACTATCATATTATGCTTATATTTAGTATGTTTATTACTAGTTATCTGATGAATTGGTAATGTTCAACATCTATCTAATACATCTTAAGATTTTGTTCTTTCTGTTTTATATTCTTAGTTTCATTTAAGGAAATATGAAGAGTAGATTTATGGGTTAGTGATTTGATCCTGCAGTTTTGTTTTTTCCCAATTGGAACCTCTTTTTGGTACTTTTTAAAGAGGAAGGTACAAACACTTGGCTGTGTAGTGAGGGTAAAAAAAAAAAACCCACCAGGTTACAGGGTTCCAGACTATGTAACTACATGAAATCTAACACAGTATAGGCTCTGAGCAGGAGGGACAAGAAAATCATTCTTTGGAAGCTTGGCGTAAGTTAAGATGAAGTTGCAAGCATTGTCAGTATCAATTATTTAGAGAAGGCCCCTGCTTCCTTGATAAGGATAAATTTTATATTAGCGGTTTGGTTTGGCCACAGCAGTTTGGCACATACTCTGAGGATCACATTAGCAAGGCAGTTGAGTTCTGCTGCAGTGTTTGGCTCTCAGATGTTTTGTAATTAGATGAATAATATTGGTAATGTAGATGGAGTGCAAATTTATTACTTTCTATTATAAATATGTATATTTATATGTGTACATTGTGATTATTGGTAAAATGTGAATATTTTGGCCTTAACTAAGCTATTTTCTCCTAGAGACATCACTAACATATATTGGCACAGTAATGTAATTATAGAACGGATTAAGCACAACAAACTTAGGACTTTATCAGGCAACATATATATATTAAAAGGGATGATAGACCGGATTTCCATGAAAGAAGCAGGTAATGACTGACATTAATTGATAAATTACTTACGGTGAAGCAATTAACCATATTTCTAACTGATATGTATGTTTTTATTCTTAATTAGGTGTTTTAAAATTATGAATCAGTCAAAACTAAGCTTTAAAACAGAATCGACTACATTGTGTAAAACTATTATATGTGTTGGTCATTTTTCTCTGATTTAATCACCCTTATTGCCAGTTTGAGTAAGTCCAGTGATTTAAAAAAATTCATTTGAGATGTTGTGTGAGAAATTGCTTTATAAGACTATAATTTGACTCCTTAGTTTGTTGAACCTGCCCAGCACAACACCAGTCCTGGTATAATCTAATTTTCTGCCTATGCCTTGAACATAGAAATGTGGCTGAAAAAAAACACACCTTAGCATTCTACTTTAAGTTTGTGATTACCCACAAGTTGTGGTTTCTTAGTGCCACTTGGTATTCTACCACATTTTCTTAATGCATTCACTCTCCCATCCCCTTTGGTAACAACTGCATAATTTTACAAATTTTCAGTACCTCCTTTCTCTTTCTCACAGGGGAAGTAGTGGAGGAGGGAGGGAAGCAGCTGAGCAATAGAAACAATCCAAAGAGAGCTTCACCATCACCTAACTGACCTGCGTGCATCTGTATCTGTTTTCATCACGAATGAACTGTCCCTGTTCTCTGTCAGCCTCTCCATTTGTACTCTATTTCCCATTTTTCCTCTTACTCAAGGATATCTTGCCAGTAATTCTCCCTTCTCCTGTCAAAACAAAAACAAAAAAAACTTTTTTATTTCAGCCACTGTTTGCTCTTGCTTACAGCAAAACAATTTAGAAGATTTGTTATATCTCATTCCTTGAATTCTTTCCCACTTTTAAAAATTTCTCTTTAATCATACCTTAAACCCCAAATCTTTACCAAACAGCCTTTATCAGAGTTACCAGTGGCCCGCACACTTTTAAATCCAGTATATGCTTACCACACTTAATCACACTTACCTCCTTTTAATTCTTTATTTGCTTTCTGGGACACCACGTTCCAATTTCCATGCTGCCTCACTCCCTGTTCCTTCTTTATTTGCTTATTCTGCTCTTCTTTGCCTCTGAATAATGGACTAGACTAGAGCTCTTTCCACACTCAGTGCTGTGTTGATTTATTTTAGGCTTTAAATTTCATCTATATGGTGACAGATGCCAAATTTGTATCTCTTACCAAAAATACTCCTCAAGCCACTCAGCTCATCTCCAATAGGGCATCTCCACAGGCATCTCAAACTTGATGTGTCTAAAACCTGATCTTCTCCCTGAAATCTGCCTAACAGCCTTTCCCCTTTCCTTGTTTCTGGTGGCTAGCCAGAATCTTTGGAGACATCTTAAATCCTGTTTCTTTCACACCCACAACTAGTGGGTAGGTATATCCTATTGGCATTATCTCCAAAAATATATCCAGAACCCAGGCCTCTGCAGACCTCTGGTATATACATCTCCCTTATGTTTTGTCTGAATGATTACAGAATCCTAACTGGTCTCGTTATTTCTTCACTTGTACTTCCACAGACTTCTTAAAGTAGTAACTAATACAGTCCCGTTAAAGAAAGTCAAGTCCTGTGGCTCCTCTGCTCACAGCCTTTCTATAGCTTCCCATTTCATCCAAAATCAAAGACTAGGTCCATGAAGTAACCCCAAGGCCTTATAATCTTTCATGTTCCTCTGCTGTTCCTATTCCCTTCTGAAGAGCCTCCTAGTCCTAGCCTTTTTTCACTCTCCTCCAACTGCACTAATTTTTACAAACAGGCCAAGCATACTCTTGGATATGCTAATATCCCTTTACACATTAAGTGCATAATTTTTCTCCAAAGCCTTGATGACCATCTAACAAACAAGATGTATATTAGTTTTCTTTCTGCTTCACATGAAAAGGCAGGTTCCATGAAGGCAGGGATTTTTGTTTCATATTGTTGACTGCTGAATCGTTAGTATTTGTGGCTGCACCTAGCACAAAGTGAGCAATAAGTGTATATATTTTTAATGTTTTAGTGAACCATTACATGTCTTTAAAATTTTTGGCTTTTAGATGATATTTTGTTTATCGTTGAACAGGCTATCCAAATTATCTCATAAGGAAGTTTATGTTTGGCTTTCCAGAAAAATGGAAAGAGCATATTGATAATTTTCTAGAACAATTAAGGTAAAGTACTTCTTAACTTTTTAAAAAGCAACTTTATTGAGGTATAATTTACATTTGATAAAATGTGCCCATTTGGGGTATAAAATTTGAAGTTCTACAAAGGTATCTGTTCATATAACCAATGTAAATTGGTTTCTCTTCCTTCTTTTTTATTTTTGGTAATGCCAGTTTTGAAATAGTTCTCTTGATCTTGGATTTTTAGACAGCAATAGTAGTTTGCTAGAATTTCTGTCATATGGAATAAATGTAAAAGGAAAATAACACTGTTGACATTTTAGGAAGCATCCTCATTCCCCCATCCTTTAAGAGGCATATAGCTATTAAACATGAGTGTACAGTTCTTAGTCCTTTTTTTTTCATTCATTCCTTCAGAAGTTAATGCCAGTTTAGCAGACACTGTTGGCACAGGAAAGCAAGGAAAATTAGATTAATTCTTGCCCTTAAAGAACTCATAGGGGATACGTTGACATAAGTTAATTAATCATAGTACAATATAACAACTAACAGTGAGGGGTGACAATTTTTTTCTGTAAAGAGCCAGATAGGAAGTGCTTTTATGGGCATGCTGCCTCTGTTGCAACTGTTTAACTCTGCCTATGTAACATTAGAGCAGCCATAGACAGTAGGTAAATGAATGTGGCAGTGTAGATGAATGTGGTAAAATAAATAAAATTCATTTCCAAAAATAGGTAATGGCAGAATTTGTCCTGACAGGTTTAGCTTAATTAGGGAATATAAGAGCACAGAAGTAGTAAGAAGTTAGGTTTTATTTGATTCCTTTGACTTAAGATACTTGAGTTCTTTGTGGGGGGAAAAGGTAGAGTCATAAAGACTTAAATAATGTAAGATTAAAGGTAATCTTTGCTGGATGGGTAAAAGCTTTATCTGAGGGATTTATTTCTGTTTAGTTTTTTGTTGTATTTTGAGACAAAAATTAGAGGAAAAATATTATACTTGTTTTTTAGGGCTTGTGAAAAGAAAGAGAGAAAGGTCAGACAAAAACAGAAAACTGGAAGATTTGTCCCTGACATACCAAAATCAGCAAAAAATAATTCAGGAGAAAACCAAACAGATGTTCTCCAAAGAGCCAGCACCACTTATGGCATTGATTATTGTCATTTGGGTATGTCTGCTCTTTTCTCCTGATACTGTGGTAAATTCTTACATGAGCTCCACATTTATCTGTTTATAGTTTGTATTTTATTGAGTTTTTGACTTATACTGCCCTAAAATTCTTGTTTTTTAATACTTAAAAAACTACAGTGCGCTCTGCTCAGTCAGCTCAGCATTCAGCTTACTTCTTCTTTTTTTAAAGAGAAGGAGAGAGAGCACTAGCCTGAGTTGGGGAGAGGGACAGAAGAGGGAGAGAGAAAATGTTAAGCAGGCTCCATGCTCAGCATGAAGCCCAACACAGGGCTCGATGACACAAACCATGAGATTATGACCTGAACTGAAATCCAGGGTTTAATGCTCAACCAACTGAGCCACCCAGGGATTTTTTTTTTTTCTGAATGTCCATTACTATAAAGGTAGTTGGCAGAACTGTTTTGTGTTAACTCTGCCAAAACTATAATCTGCCTAACATCCCACCCCATTCTCCCCACTGGAAAAAATTATTAATAATAACCTATAGGGGTGCCTGGGTGGCTTAGTCATTTAAGTGACTGACTTCAGCTCAGGTCATGATCTCATGGTTCATGGGTTCAAGCCCCGTGTCGGGCTCTGTGCTGATGGCTGCCTCAGAGTCTGGAGCCTGCTTCGGATTTTTTGTCTCCCTCTCTTTCTGACCCTCCTGTTCACACTGCCCCCCCAACCTTAAATAAATAAAATGTTAAAAAAAATAATAACCTATAGCCCTTGGTAGATAATGCTTTTGAAAGTGAATTCTTTAATATGGAAAGGCAGCTTGTATATAATAATTTATTGAAATCTCCATCTTTGTACTCATAGAACTGAAAAATGGTAAATACAGTAGGTTGCCAGGAGCCACAGAATTAAACGTGTGCCATGGTACTTGCCAAAATAAACCATCATTAAGTCTCTCAGATGACCAAATACATAACACTTTTCAAAATGGAGGAGAAAATGACTTAACTAATCAGGTAAGCTTTACTATACCCTGTGATACAAAGAGTGGTGGTATGATGCTACTAAAAAGGTTTGTGACCAAATCAGGAATCATGAATTGTTTATTAAGCATCAGCTTAACAATCAGCTTGGCAATATCTTGCTTGATATTTATTTTCTCAGTGTCTCATTGGAAAAGTGTAGTCAGTAATAACAGACAGTTTATTTGAGAATGCTGGTTTCTCATTTGCTGTGGACATGACCATAAAAAATTTTTCCACTAGGCTTTTCTTTCTTTATGCTACTTTGCTAGCGTTCAGCCTATTGGGAACATTTATAACAAAACAAACAAACAAAAAAAAGTAATAACAGACACTTTAAGCTCTTAAAGGTTAAATAAAGTGTGTGTGTGTGTGTGTGTGTGTGAACAAGTCACATGTATTAAATTTATAAAAGAAATATCTAAGTTAGTGGATGCCCACATGGTGCTTCCAAAGCTCAGTTTCTGGCAAATGAGTTTCTGAATGCCTCTGCTAGTGAAATTTGTAGAACTGTTAAGTACCTAGATATTTGAATGCTTGATACATACTATGAAAATGTTTGAGGTCATATTTATAGGTAGTAGTTGTTAAAATAAAAAGCTAACTTTTTGTTTTGAAGGAAATAATGGGAAAGAAAGCATACGAAAAGTTGTCTTCAAAGAAACTTGAAAATTTTGAAAGAACAAATGAAAGGATAATTAAAAGTCAGAAGCAAGGTGACATATCTCTATTGGTTTTATAATAAGCATACAGCTCTTATTTGAAATGTTTTTAATATAATAAAAGTGATCTCATAAATTTCCAAATCTAAAATTGCAAACTCAAGTATTACAATCATTATAAATGGGGATTTTTGGGGGTTTTTTGGGGGGGCTTTTTAGAATTTTATTTTCTTTAAAGCATAATTAACATAGTGTTATTAGTTTCAGATGTACAATAGGGTTTTGTTTTTCTATACAGGATGATTTGCATAGTAAAAGAATCCATTACTTTACATACCATATTTACTTGTAGGTTTACCTCCCTTAATCCTGGCACTAAATAATTTTTATTATTTATCTATCTATTTTAAGTCAACTCTGAGTCCAGCATGGGTCTTTAACTCATGACCCCAAGATCAAGAGTCACATGCTCTACCAACTGAACCAGCCAGGAGCCCCTAATTTTTTGTTAATCAGAAAGTTATACATAATCATTTTAAATGTGGTTTTTGGAGTGCTTAAAGACTATGAATCTTTTTATGAAATTATGCCATAATTTAGCTATGTGTAAAGTATGGATTTCCAGTGTGACTTCATTGAAATCCTGTATACCAGATTTAAAGAACCTTTTCTCTGCACATTAGCAAGTTTAAATTTCATATTGAGTTAAATCCATCAGCACTAAGCATTTTTTTGTATTTCTTCTTATAAGTAAAAAGAAATGAAAGTGAAGAACATTTATAAGTGTTTAAAGAAATAGAGAGGGAAAGCAGTACTTTTTAGACTGTCAAGATCATGTAACTTAGGTGAAAGATCCAGAATTGGCTGAATCTTCATTCAAATTATTTAATAAAATGAATAAAAATATTCAGAATAAAAGTGCTTTGTCCAGAATTACAAAGTTTAAAATTTTTAAATTTCCAGTTAAACATTTGGATCAGATTTATATGAGGAATGAAAAGAAAACACTTCCTTCTCAAAGACAGATGATTCCATTGAGAAATCTAGAAACTTTCTTATTACTTTTCATTAGTACCACTTCTCTAAGAATTATTATTTGGTGGCTTCTTTTCTCCCCAGTATCCATCATTAACTCATCAGTCTTTAATTCTATCATTCATCTTGTAAAGAGGTACATAACATGTGTACGACGTTGAAGTACTTAACTAGGATAGTTGTTGTGATGATTTATAATTTGTATATATTTGTAAGTGCAATTCGTTGATTTACGATTAGAAATTAAATTAGTTTGGCTTCTGGTTTCTTTAGTTGCAAATTAGAGAATTTCTTTCATTTTAATTTGCTTTCTTTAGTGACATAATAAAGATTCCCAATTTCTGGTTTGGTTGTTACCATGATACTTCATGGAGTTTGGGTGAATCAGCAAAAATGTCTTTCCATGGCTACCACTGGGGATGAGAATGGGGCTATACCTATGGAATTCCATATTCCCCTAATGAGGATAGCTTCCATCCCTTTTATTACATACCTAGTAAGATTTTAGCAACCCTAAGTATTTTACCTCTAAACAATTGATTAAACAAATACTGATTTATCATTTACTGTACATGTGAAGGACTCTGTACTAACTGCAGAAAGAAAAAAAATCCAAAAGTGAAAACAAAATTCATACCATTGAAGATTTTTTTTCAGTCTAGTTCAAAGACAAATTTATAAGTATAATGCAAGGCACATTGTCAAACATGGCATTATTTAAAAGTATTCTGGAAATTTGAAGGAGACCTTTCATTCAGTTGAGAAAAACAGGATATAATTTGTGGACTAGTTCGGTTAGAGAGTAGAATTGAAGCTGGTAGTGATTTGGTTATTGAGTGAAGAAAACTTTCCAAGTAGAATAATATTAGTGAACAGTTGAGAATCAAGAAAACTATGGTTGTAGTACACATAGAATATGGTTCACATTTGAGTACAGTGAGAGATTAGAACTACAGTGAAGGCCAGACAGAAGACCTTATATGTACACTAAGTAGACTTCAAGTCAAGGACTGGTTGATATAAAAAAATATGCTTAAAATTGAAGCGGCAGTAATCTGAATCGACTGGAGCTTCAGAAAGACTAATAATGATAGTAGTCTGTACAATGAAGCTTATGGGGGGTAAAACAGCATATTTTATTTTAGAAAAAAATTTCTGTGCTTTATTTTGTTTGTAGCTAATTTGAGATTTTGATCTTTGGTTTTATCTTACGAAATTAAAGAGAGAACTGAAGAATCGAATGTATCCATTGACATTCTGACCTTAAGGCAACCGTTTTTCTTGGATGAAGAAAGAAAATGTATGTCTCTTAATGCGAAGAAAGCTTATATTTTAATGACACCACTTAAATCTAAAAAGGTGATAGAACAAAAATGCATGAAGTATAATCTGTCTTACAGCACCATTAAAGCAGTTACAGATTTTGCAGTGCCAAAGCATCAAAAAGAAAGAACATCAGACTTACATGAAACTACCAGTTTGATCAATAATCCCACAAAGACCTTCAAAAATGCAATGGAGTATAGTGAGGACCATAAAAGTAAAAACAAGGAAGACTGCAGTGAAATTGACTTACTCACTGTGAACCAGAAAATCAAAATGTCTAGTTCTAAAAAGGAACAAACGGTCACCTCTGACTTTAAGAAAAGTACAAGGTTGTTACCAAAATCGAAGAAAATAAAAAATTTGTCTATGTCATTTTACAAGCAGCAGTCCTCATCAGATTTGTCTAGTGAAGAGAGCGAAACAGAAAAGGGAATTAGAAGGAAAGCTAGAGTTGCTAAGAAAACTTCCACAAGAAATACCAAAGAAACAGTGGTTCACCTAAGGAAAAGCACAAGAAACACCACAAGGAAAATCCCAGTGATTTCAGAATCTGAAACTGAAGAAAGTGAAAGTGAATTTTACATCAAACAAAAGAAAGCTAGATGCTCTGCTAAGGAAAATCTTCAGAAGTCTGTTACTAGGAATGAGTTTCCAGTTATTGAGGCCATTGGATCTGATGAGACAAACAGGCATTCATTTGAATGTTTTCCTGGTGTAATTCAAGATGAAGAATGGAATGAGAAGGAATTACAGAGACTTCATTGGTAAGTAGTTAGATTTGACTCTGAAATATCTAGAGTGGCCACAAAACAGTTGACCTAAAAATTCCAAGAAAGGGCTGATTTAGTGACCTCTAATCATTAAAATGGAAGATATCCAAAAACACATGGAGAGAAATAACAATTTGTACAAAGAATATAGGGAGAATACAGATAAAACTTCTATTTTGTGGCCATAAACATAGACGTTGCTCTCTCAGATCTTCATATTTTAAGAAATATTTTATAGTTAAATTTTCTGTTACAAAACCTTAAAGCTGAATTCAGACAGGCAGATTATTTAAGATGGTCTTCTCCCTGGATTTATAGAATAGAAATAGACTCAAAAATTAGGTGATCCGTCCAAGGTTTAGTCATTAGTGCTACTAACAACCCAAGTATGAGAAGAATTGGATTTGGGTGCATAGCCTTGGCTATGCTTAGTGCCACTAAGCATTGGAAGCTAAAACATAGCTGAGCAATGAAGAGTGAATGAAAGAGTAAAAACAAGCTAGGTGTACAACACAAAAAATTGGTGGTGATAGGGAACAACAAAATGGATAGGTAATAGAAGAATGTGAAGATAAGGGAAGATGTATGTTTGATTGCTCACTTGTTTATAAGAGGACTCATGCCAGAGTATGGTGGTGTGTTGATAGAAATGATCTGGTAGAAAGGAAGATGTGATTGATCAGAGAGGAAAACATAGAAACATACTATGTTCAGTGAGTGTTTCACTTGCTTGAATACTCCCTAACCTTAAACATTTGGAATTTATTTTCTGATCTTCTTGAGACACTATTCCTACGGCATCTCTGTGGCACTATGCTCCTTTTTTAATTTCCTAAATATTCCTTCTCGGTCTTGTTTTCAGGCAAATAAGATAATATTCCTTCTTCTCCAAAGTTCTTGTTTTTGGATGCTTCTTGCTATTATAATGTAGTCTTCAATGGTCTTTGCCTTCTATAGTTCTAAGTTTACTCTTGGACAGAGATTCCATATCTGTATCTGTAGTTATAATTTCTTATATTTAGATTTGTATTTCTCTTTGCCTGTTGAACATCTCTCCATAAATGGAGAAACATTTTTCCCTGCCTATACTTTGGCTGATATTCCTAATGTTGAAAATGTAATTCTTTGAGTCAACTAGGTTTAAACTCCTTGATCATTATTGATTTTCTGCAGCAGGTCCCTTTTGTGCTTCCTTCCCCTCAGGTAGCCTCTGTCCCCTGGGCCACTCCTGGGGGTAAGGGGTTATCCCTTCCCAGTGTTTTTTATTTCTGTGGGGCTTACCCCAAAGTATTAAAAGTAACTTTGTAAAAAAAAAAAAAATTAAAAATTAAAAAAAATCTAGTTAGTTCCCAGGAACTATAGATTTTCCCACAGGATCATTCTATCTGCACCCTTTCTTGACACTACTTTTTTTCCAGACTTTTAATGCCTGCCTACTTTAATGGAAGTAGCCTTGTATTTGTACTTTGTTGTTTTCTTCTTGTAAGCTGTTTTATATAGATCTCCAATTTAGTCTTTATTTTTTTTTAATGTTTTATTTATTTCTGAGAGAAAGCATGAGCAGGGGAGGGTCAGAAAAAGGAAGACAGAGAATCTCCAGATTAGTCTTAATGTATAGTTGTGGTTCTAACATCAGAAACCTTCACTGAATTCTTACTAAGAATCTTTAAATTATATAGAGATCACTCTGCCTTACATTGACAGCATACCATACTTTTACCCTAATTAACCTCTCTAGCTGTCTCTCCCATTATTTTGTTATAGTAAAGGTTCTCAACCTTTACTGTAGATCCATATCATCTAAGGAGATTATCTTAATGCCTGAACTACAAAGATTTCAGTTCCCAATAAGATGAGGAAAGCATATTCTACTCTTTTTTTTTTTTCTGTTTAGCTGTGAAACCTGGACAGAATGCATGGAACAGCCTTTTGTTTACGCAGAAAGGTAAATAGTAGCAGGTCAATAAGGAAAAACTAGAAAAAAACTTTAACATGACAGAAACAGAGAGCAAGCAGGGTAGCGGCAGAGAGAGAAGGAGACACAGAACCTGAAGTAGGTTCCAGGCTCTGAGCAGGCAGCACAGAGCCTGACACGAGACGTAAAGCCACGAACTGAGAGATCATGACCTGAGCCAAAGTTGGCGGGTTAACCAACTGAGCCACCCAGGCGCCCCAGGAAACACTAGAATTTTAAGTAACACTGAAATGGGGGCAGATTTCCAGTTTTTCCTCTGATATTCCTGAACCTAGATTAAGGCCCCTTAAAAATTAGATAGAAGTGGTCACTGAGGCATGACTAAGACAGTTCAAAGAAAAGCCTTCCACTTTTGGCTTGAGGAAGAGGGAAGGGGACTATTAACACTCAGAAACAGTAGAAGAACTCCCCAGTTCTTTTTCTTTTCTCGTTTCTCTTATGGCCCAGTCTCTGTGCAATCTTGCATGAGTGAAAATCACAACAGTATATGGGGCCCACATGCACTTAAAATTCTGAAAGTAGGAAACCTTCTCTTCAGGAATTTAGGACTCAAAAGGGTAGGGCAACCTGTGTTGCATTTTTCTCTTTTTGTCTTCTGTGCTTGACACTGCAGAAAGATGCAGTTGTGTGAAATGTACCACAGAGTTGGGTAACTAAAGCCCTAATTTTCTGCCAAAAAACTAAAAACAGGAATCCTGGCGAACTAAAAGTTGGAAAGGGAAGAGCTAGGGGAAACAACCTTATATAAAGTTGTTTATGAACTTTAGAGCTCACCCGAGTTGAGCATTTGAGGATTTGATCCTAAACAGCATACCCAAGACTGACAACTAAGAAATAGACTGGACACCAGTTTCCAAGACAGCCACTCAGTGTCCAACACACAGAATATTTTAATAGTACTGCAAAGCTTTAAAAATGGACCTGATAATGAAACTGCAACCACAAAAGACTGGAATTTATAGCTCAGGTTCCAGCCAGGTTGATTGCCTGCTAAAACAAAAATATTATTCTCCCTAGGATATAAACATGACCCCAGAGTTTTACAGTATTTCAAAATAACTAGGAAATAATTACAGAATTACTCAGTATATGAAGAACCAGGAAAATTTTAACTCTCATAAGAAAAAAAAAGAACAGATACCATTGCTAGGATGACATAGATGTTGAAGTTACCTGACAAGATTCTGAAGCAAATATACAAAACTGCTTTAGATTAGCTGACAAGGGGCGCTGGGGTGGCTCAGTCAGTTGAGCGTCTGACTTGGGCTCAGGTCATGATCTCACGGTTCATGGGTTCAGGCTCTGCGTCAGCTCTGTGCTGACAGCTCAGAGTCTGGATCCTATTTCAGATTCTGTGTCTCCCTCTCTCTCTGACCCTCCCCTGCTCACACTGTCTCTCTCTCTCAGAAATAAATACAAACATTAAAAAAAAAAAAAAAAAAAAGAAGAGCCGACAAGATGGCAAAAGTATAGCAGAAGTGTGCCTTCCCATAAGTTCACATACCATAGTGTGGACCTAGATCAGCTACTGGACTCGTTCTACAAGCCATTGATGCAGCTGTACAGGGCTGGGCAGTGGTGGCAGCTGAACTGGGGTTTGCAGAAAATCCCAGGATGCTTCCCCCATGGAGAAGTCTAAGGTTGTTAAGAAGCACCTGTGGGACATGATTGTCCTGCCCAAGGTGGTGTGCAGTGTGGTGGCTGTCTCCAATGCCAAGACCTTCAACCAGGTGGAAATCAAGCCCAAGGTGATTGGCCACTACTTGGGCAGGTTCTTCACCACCTACAAGCCTGTGAAGCAGGGCAGGCCCAGCATTGGGGCCACCTACTCCTCTTGTTTCATCCTCCCCAAGTACCCTGTTCAGCCAAAAAAGACACAGACTTCTCTACTCAAAAAAATAAAAGAAAAAAAGAAAGAAAGAAAAATCCAGGAACTAAGCAAACATTCTTGAACAGAAATTTAGAAAATCTCAGAAATAGAAGATAAAAAGAAGGATCCAATGAAAATTTTAGAACTGGAAAAAATAAGATAGTCAAAATATAAAACTAGATAGGCTCAATACAGAATGGAGAGGACAGAGGAAGGAGGCAGTCAATATCAAGTATGAAGGACTATCAAGAGAAATGGTATCTGGATAAAATGTTTAATGGTTGAAAGCAAATATTAACATTGTATGTTGAGGTTTTCAATATATGTAAATTTAATACATAAAACAACATAAAGAGGAAGAATGAAGAGACGATGGTAAATTTTTACATTCCACTTGAAGCAGTGAAAAACTTATGTTTGTAGTAATCACTAGAGCAACTACTAAAAAACTACAAAGATTTTTTAAAATATATAATAGATAAAATACTAAAACAAAACAAAACAAAGAATACAGAAAAGGAGAAATAGAAAACAGAACAAAGCAGACAGCAAATAAAATAGTTCTCCTAAATCCAAACATAATTACGTTATGTTAGAGGTCTAAATGCACCACTTTTTTTTTTCCTGAGAGAGAGAGAGATGGTGTGAGCAGGGGAAGGTCAGAGAGAGAGGGAGACACAGAATCTGAAACAGCCACCAGGCTCTGAGCTAGCTGTCAGGAGAGAGCCCGATGTAGGGCTCGAACCCATGAACCATGAGATCATGACCTGAGCTTAACCAACTGAGCCACCCAGTTTTTTTTTTTTAGTTTACGTACTGTATGATTCCATTTATATCACATTCTGGAAAGACAAAACTAAGAAATCAGTAATTGCTGGTGGTGATAGTGGTGGACAAGAAAGAGGATGCACCCAGAATTTTTTTTCCATGTAATGGAATGGTTCAGTATCCTAACTGTGATCATGGTTCTACAAATCTCTATATCCATTAAGATTCATAGAACCATACCCCAAAAGACCATTTTACTGTATGTTAACTTAAAAAAGAATGTTAAGGTGCCTAGACTTCATACTATTAAAATCTTTAGATACAGCAGGCTTGGGTTTGGGCTCTGCTTCTGTAGTTTTTTCAAAGCTCTAATCTGCAGTCTTCCTTTGAAATTTACCGTACTATAAATATGAACTGCTCTTTATTCCCTAACCTTATGTCCTGTCTCTTCATCTTTGTTTCTTTGTCAGTACTGTTGCTTCATTTTCAGTTGTTATATTTTATCCATCCTTCAAATATTCTCTCACATATCAGTCATCTCTTCCCTATAACCTTTCATTGTCATCACCTATTCCTACTACCCACTCAATTGGAGTGCTTTTTTTAACCTAAAGCAGTTCCAATCTTGACTGCACAGCAGAACAATCACCTGAGGAACTTTTGAAAAATGTTAAGTGTTGCCACTGCAAACCTACTAAATTGAAATCTTGAGGGATAGGGTCTACGAGTCTGTTTGCTTGTTTTACTACCTTATTTGCTTGCTTGTACTTTTTTTTTAATGTTCATTTATTGAGAGAGAAAGACAAAGTGTGAGCAGGGGAGAGACAGAGATAGAGACACAGAATCCGAAGCAGGCTCCAGGCTCCTAGCTGTCCGCGTAGAGCCCAATGCAGGACTCGAACTCAGGACCTGAAAGATCATGACCTGAGCTGGAGTCAGACATTTAACCTTAACTGAACGACCCAGGCACCCCGCTTGCTTCTGCTTTTGATGTAAACTCAAATGATTCTGAGTTGCAGCCCAGTTTTGTACTCATCATACTTATAACCTAGTTAGCAAATAATCACTCATAAGTTTAGAAGAATATAGATCAGGGAAGTCTGACTTAGCTTAAGCAGATACTTGAACTGAGATCTGAAGGACAAATAAGAATTATTTAAGCCAAATAGTATAAAATAGTATAATTAAGTTCATTTTAAATAAAATAATGTATGTAAAAGCAGCAAAGAGGAAAACACATTTAGAAATCCTAAAAGAAGGCCACAATAAGTAGAGTACAGAAAAATGAGGGAAGAACAGTACAGGATGAAACTAGAAGACCAGGAACAATGGAAGTCAATAAATGCTGTGGTTTTTATGCTAAGGAATGCAAGTTGTTTTCTTCTTCCTCTGTCACCTATAAAAGCAAGTTTTAAATAGGAAGGAGTGACATGACTGTATTTGCCCTTTAAAATTATCTGTGATAAACTAGAGATGTGTTAATTACAGACTAATTTCTCATTAAATGCATTAAGTATTTTTATTATGAAAAATACTCCTAGCAGTTCTACACTTGCAAATTAATGATGTACACAAATGGAAAACAATATACACAAATGGAAGCTTAAGCCTCCAAATCCTTTTAGTTCTTCACTTCAGGACACCTGTGGAATGATTATATGCAAAAGAGTAGAGCATTCATTAACCGTAAGTACTTGGCATGGAATGAGTGGTATTCTGTAGTCAACCAGTACCCATTCACAAGATCATACAGATTTACAGGTAAATTTTTTAAGTAATACCCTAAACTCATCACTTCCTAATTATTTTACTGTACTTTATTATGATTATGCCTTAAGGTTTTTATAGCATTTGTAGCTGTATGGTGGAAATTCTAATTGTGTCCTATCACACATTTCTTACTCTACATTCAGAGACATCATGTTGGTAGCTTGAAATCAGCCACAGTAGTTATTTACAATATGGAAAATGACAAACACTATAAATAAGGACTATTTCACTGAGAGAGCTGATTTTAAAAATTTGCCAGCATAACGCTACATAGGCTAATTAGTGAGTTAAATAGATCTTTTCTGGCTGAACTGCCAGCTTAACCACAGTACGTAAAATATATTTGGGGAGGGAAGGGAGCAGAAATACATGTACCAGTTTCTAAATATTTACAAATAAACTTTGAGAATGTAACTCATTTGTTAAATTTGATAACAACCTTATATTGAGTCACAGTTTTTTCTCTTTCAATTTTCATTTCCCTCAATTATACATAAAATATTACATTCTGTAAATTATAATAGAATGAAAGCAAGAAAAACATGTTTATTTTGAGAGCGTGTGTGCACTAGTGGGGGAGGGCAGACAGGATGTGAGAGGATCCTAAGCTGTCAGCATAGAGCTTGGCATGGAGCTTGATCCACGAATTGTGAGATTATGACCTGAGCCGAAATTAAGAGTTGGATGCTGTTAACTAACTGAGCCACCCAGGTGCCCCAAGAATAACAACAAGTTTTAATAAGAATGTATAACCTAGAGTATATAGGAACTAAGAGCTCATTTTCCAATATACTTACCACCAGGAAGGTCTGAGCAACATTGTTGAAAAGTTAGTCATACTGGAGTCCCCCAAAAGATCAAATCACTGATAGGTGGACATAGGAAAAAGATGTTGAAAGAAAGACCTGGGATGATTGTTCAGGTTTCATAGAATATAAGAAAATAAAAGGTATCTACTGGATATGTAAAATTACAACTTCATATTTTAAGTACTCAAGTTACTGAGTGGAAAGAATAGTTATCTTCTTTCTAAACAGTTATCAAAGTGATTTTGGTAAAATTCCTTTAGCTCAGTAAATCTCATTGGTTTAGTGGTATGCATTCACAAGGTTGTTTTTCTTGATTTGAATTTCTTGTTCTTTAACTGGTTTTGGTTTTCAATAGTGCTTTTGCATCTCTTCCAAAGCACAAACCTGGTTTCTGGGCAGATGTAGCAATGGCTGTAGGTTCTCGATCTGCTGAAGAATGCCAGAGGAAATACATGGAAGACCCCAGAGGAAAAGAATCCCAGAAACCTGTCACTAAGAAAAAACCAGTCAATTCCAAAGGCCAAAATGGTAATCTTTATAAATTATTTTTGCCTAGGTTTCAGTATTGATTTATGATTAGTTACTGGCTATATTTTATATTTATGTATGTATCATAGGTGTTTTCTCAAAAATTTAAAGCTAGAAAGAACTAAAAAGGTCATTTAATTTTTAAGACTTAACTAGTTATTTCTATCAATAGTAGGCTTAGCAGCCTTGTGCTTTGAGTTTGTTCTAGGAAATATGCAGTTATATCCAAAGATTTCAATATCTAGATTATTGTTCAAAGAGTCTATTGTAATCTGAGGCCACTTGGGTAGGGCCCCCTAGAAATTCATAATAAAATTTAAAATAAATTTAATTTTCGTACTCCCCAGGAGTATGCATTCTTGCTCAGGGTTTATGACAGAGCTTGTACTAAGCTTTAGGGAGTATCCTGTCCCTACTGTAATTCATTAAGGTTTATATTTTTGCAAAATCAATTAGGCATTTAGCAAGGGGAATATGGGAGGTAACCTTTCTTACAGGGTAAAGAACTTTTCCACCTCACCCTGGCTAATCTTATATATATTCTTCATGAGTATCTTGTGGGCTAATCATAGTGCATAGATCCCAGTTTAGAAAAAATCATTTGCTATATAGGAGACTTATTAATAGTAGATGAGTATACTTAATGTAGATATACAGTTTAGGTCTTGCAAAGTCTGTTAACTTTAGAGCAGTTACTATAAATGACCAAATCCTTCTCACAATGTCTGCTAACTCCTAAGGCAAGATACGCAATGCTGATAAGAAGCAAATGATTAAGATTACTGCCAAAGTGGGAACTCTTAAAAGGAAGCAGCAAATGAGGGATTTTCTGGAACAGTTGCCAAAAGATGATCATGATGATTTTTTCAGTACAACACCTTTGCAGAATCAAAGAGTACTGGTAAGAATCTTAAATGCATGAAATCATTGCTCTCTTTATATTGACTTTTACATCTTTCATTTTATGTATGGTTAGTGTTCATCCTTAATATTTAGGCCAAGGATTGGTGGCCTACACAGACATCCCCCAAAACGTACTATAGGAAGCAGTCTGCCAGTACATGCTATTCTCATCAGTGTAATGGTTGTAGAGCCAAATTGAAAACCCAGAAATAGGCTAAATGTATATATTTAAAATTTCATATGCAATGAGGCAAACTTAAAAAGGTAATGGGGTGCCTGGGTGACTCAGTTAGTTAAGAGTCTGACTCTTTATCTCAGCTCAGGGTCATGATTTCAAGTCCCACATTGGGCTTGGCACTGGGCATGAAGCCTACTTAAAAACAAAAAAGAAGAAAGGTGGTAAGAAAACATTATTACCTACTCTGTAGTAAATTAAATGGAAGGGTTAAATGACAGCACAGGGGCGCCTGGGTGGCTTAGTCGGTTAAGCGTCCGACTTTCGCTTAGGTCATGATCTCGCGGTTTGTGGGTTCGAGCCCCGCGTCGGGCTCTGTGCTGACTGCCAGCTCAGAGCCTGGAGCCCGTTTCAGTCTGTGACACCCTCTCTCTCTGACCCTCCCCTGCTCACGCTGTCTCTCTCTCTCTCTCTCCTAGAAATAAATAAAAATATTTAAAAAAAAAAAAATGACAGCACAAAGTTGACATTTTAATGTATAAAGTAATTTTTGTAGTATGAAAAATCGTACAACTAAAAACTTCAGCGATTGGGGAAAAATATTTACAACAAATAAAGACCATGTTTACAACTCATTCAGATGTTACTAGAATACTAAAAAATGTCAAGATCACAGGGAAAAAGTGGGCAAGAAAAAATTTAAAAGGTTGAACACTTGGGAATGTAGTCAGTTATATTAGCTGACAATCAGAGGAAAACAAAGTCATATGTATATATTCTAAATTACAGAATCTTTTACAAACATTAAGTTAAAATATCCATTACAAAAAGCAGTGGAGACACTGAAATGTTCACACATCAGTGGATGTGTGAGTGAATCCTACCTTTTGGAAAGCATCATGGCAGTATTTGAGAGCCATAAGAATAATTCTCTTCAAGGGAACTTATCCAGAGAAATTCAAAAAAAGCCAAAAGACTCCACAAAGACCTTTACATTGCAGGTTTATCTTTATAGCAGAAAACTGGAAGCAGTATATATCCAATAAGGATGTTCTTCATAAATGGTCAAATAAAGTATAAAGTGCAAATTTGAGACTATTTCTAGAATATAAAAATAAATGTTAAGAGTATTAAGATTCATGCAAAAATGGACAGATACAGACAATTGATAGAAGTATAAAATCTTAACCTTCAGGGATAATTTAATTTATTCATTTATTTCTTTAACTTTATTTTGAGAGAGAGCACGCATATGCACATAGGAGCAAGGGAGGGGCAGGGAGAGAGAGAGAAAATCCAAAGCAGGCTCTGTGCTGGCAGTGCAGAGCCCAATGCAGGCTCCATCCCAGTCTGTTAGATTATGACCTGAGCCAAAATTAAGAAGGAGTGGATCCTTAATGGACTGAGCCACCCAGGTGCCCCGCATTTCTTAATATTGTTACATTACCTCCAATATTAAAAGACTACACAAATTCTTTAAGAATTTAGTAACATCATTATCTGGGCTCCTGGCCTACACAGGTTGTAAAAGGAGATATTTTAAGGGAACCAGCCTCTGAGTCTCTTACTGTGTTCCCTGCATAACAAGCATGGTGCTTTAGAGCTTATATCCTTTATATAATTCCATCATCATTTCAGGTTTTACATATGTTTTGGCTTAAATGCAATAGTAGCAACAGTTTAAAAGCTAAAATAATAAAACATAGAAAGCAGTCAAGTAAGATCGTTGTATGTCACAAATCCACTTTCTCTAATGTTTTGATGTAAAGTTAGATAAAATCTTAAGGATTGAATTGCTGTTTACTGGAAATATATATACACAGAAGTTTAATACTGCTTGAGTTCTTATAATAAATTTGTGAATTAATTGTTTTGTTCTGTTTACACAGAAGTAAGCAAACCATTACCGTATTTGAGAGCCATGGTCGAATCTGGTGGACCACATTTTTTATAAACAAAATTTTATTGGAACACAGACATGCTCACTATTTACATAGCTATGTCTGCTTTCATGCTACAGCAGCAGAGTTTAGTATTTGGGACAGAGAGTATATGGACCACAAAGCTTAAAATATATATTGTCTGACTCATTACAGAAAACATTTGCTGACACCGGTCTTTTCACAACTTCTAGAAGTAGGTGTCATTTCTCCATTTAACACAATAGAAAATAAGGTTTTATTTAGAGGCCAAGGCTCTCTTCTATCCCACCCAAAAGCATTTAGTGATAATGAGAAATCCCATTTTTACGGGTGCCTGCTGGCTAGTAATATTTGTTTTTTAGTTACCAAGTCTCCAGGACAGTGCAGAAGAGGATGATATTCTGCCCAATATGGACAAAAATCCAACAACTCCATCATCAGTTGTCTTTCCATTGGCAAAAACTCCTCAGTGTCAGCATGTCAGTCCTGGGATGCTAACCTCTATAAATAGGTAAATATACATATGATACTGTAATTCTGTAATGGATCAGCATTTAATATTTCATGAGTTGAAGAGAGTAGATGTCAGTAATGAGAAGAGTCATGACTAAAAAGGAAATCAAGAAAGAATAGTTTCTAGAAGTCAAGGATGGACAGTTTCAACAAGTAGAGGTGTTGTTCAGTAGTGTAGGGACACACACAGCTCACACTTTATATCAGGATAAATTCAAAATGGATCAAAGTTTTGCATGTTAACAAATTTATGTAAAAAATATACCTAAAGAAACCTTGGAGGATTATTTTATAATTGTAGATTAGTGAAAGTCTTTTCTAACTATGATGCAAGACTCAGGATGCTAACAAAAAGAATGGTGAAGTCTACCAGATAAAAAGTTTTACCCCATACCAAGTACCATAAGCAATCAAAAGATCAACCGTTGGGGTGCCTGGGTGGCTTAGTCGGTTAAGCGTCCGACTTTCACTTAGGTCATGATCTCGCGGTTCGTGGGTTCAAGCCCCGCGTCGGGCTCTGTGCTGACTGCCAGCTCAGAGCCTGGAGCCTGTTTCAGTCTGTGACTCCCTCTCTCTCTGACCCTCCCCTGCTCGCGCTCTCTCTCTCTCTCTCTCTCCTAGAAATAAATAAAACATTAAAAAAAAAAAAAAGATCAACTGTGATCTGAGAAAAGAAAATAGGGAACCCACCAAAGGAAAAGGCTAATTTTCCTAATGCAGCACCTCTACAAATTAAGAGGAAAGCCATTCTCATGCATTACTAGTGAGAAGGTAAATTAGGACAGTCTCTACAGGCAGCAATTTGTCAGTACCTGTCAAAATTGTAAATACACGTGGTCTTTAACCTATCCATCTGCTTCTAGAATTGTGGATGTACAGCTTTTTAAGGTATTGTTTGTAATAGCAAAAGACTGGAAACAATTTGAATCCTCACCAGTAGGGACTAATCAAATCAGGCATATTCTATAGCCATAGAAATGAATGAGGAAATTATTGTTATGGAAAAATGTTCACGATTTATTAAATGAAAAAAGACATAATGAATTATGTGTTAACTATTTGTGTAAATAGGGGCTGTGCGTGTATTTATGTATGTATATGTATATACTTGCATATATATGTGCATATGTACAGAATTGCTTTCCTTTGATTAAGTATCTCTGAAAGAATACATAAATTGAAAACATTGGTGATCCCTACAAAGAGAAACTAAGATAGCTTAGAGACTAGAGGGATTAAGAAAAATCAAGGGCAGCCAGCAGTTGAATGACACAGACTAAAAGAGGAAAAGTAAGAAAAATGAGGCCTGAAAATAAACCATTCCATGTGGCAATCAAGCAGGGACAGTGCTGCTTTTAGTAAGAGTAGTTTCCATGGGGTAAGAGGCAAAAGCCAGATAATAATGACTGAGAAAGAAGTAGCCAGTCCTCTCCTCAAGCTTGGTGAAATTGTAATTTACATTTATTTAGTAAAAACATAATTTTCCCCAGCAATCCACAGATTATTTTTTCTTTAGTATTCATTGCAGGTAAAAGTACTGAGAGTATAATTTTGGGCAAAGCTTTTGGGAAGCACTTTGGCCAAATCATAAAAAGCTTTAAAATATTCATCCAATAAGGAAAGTTCAGAAATTAGGATTTATCCATATGATAGAATAATATGTAATAATTAAAAATCATGCCTTCAGGAATTTTTAATGACAAAGGATAATGTTCAGTGGAAAATAGTTTTTTAAAGCTAAAAAGTTAAATACAGTATCCCAATTCACATTGCATGTATTCAGAAATTTCTTGACTAAAAACATCACCAAGCATTATTTAGGTTATTGAATCACATTTAAGTGAGCTTTGGTGTGTTTTTTTTTAAATATCACTTTTATAATTATGGGAATGCACCTTTTTTTTCTTATAGAGCACATAGTAGACTTGTTTATATCATGAATATGTTTCCTAAAACTTTATTTTAGAAAATGAGTTTCCTAGTCCTCTACGCTCTCTCTTGACTAATCAGCTCTAATAGGTGGCTTCCTTTTTATAACAATTTTAAATAAAGAAATAGTTTTTATCACTTCAGAGATGACTTCTTTGTATATAGGACAACAGATTCATGAGGTGCTAATGCTCAACAGATAGCTAGGCTTCTTATTCACTAGCTTTATGCAGCAGTGTTTGTGGTTCACATTAATATCTTAATACAGTCACACATTTAGAACTTTCTATGTGTCCTACCTTTAAGTCATAAAGGAAAGGATAATTGATCATAAAGGATCTTGAAGCCAAGAGAGAGAAATAGAAGTGTTATTCAGCTGTTATACACTGTCATAAGCAGGACTAGGAATTGTAGGGAGAAATGAAATAGCCATTCTGTTTGGCTTCAATTTGTAACTATACTTGAATCAAGCCTATTTACTAAGAATGAGAGGGGAAGGAAGGTAAAAAATGAAAATTTTATAGTTGGTATGGAGAATATAAAAAAGATGTAACTATGCAGAAAAAAAAGACTTGTGAACTGAGTTGAAGACTAAATTGAGGGTTTTCATCACCATCCTTAAAGTGGTTACCCTTTAAGATTCAGTCTGGTGGGGAAGGAAGTGAACAGGAGAAAGGAGTGAGAGGTGTAATAAAAGAGAGTCCAGGGACAAGAAGTCTCTGGATTCTGGAAAAGAGAGGTTGCAAGATAGTACTTGTTGGAAAAGGCACAAATGGGACAGTGAACAGTAAGCAAAATAGTAATTTCCTAGAATACTCATATTCAGTGTTTCCTTTAAAATGTTTTGTTGAAGCATTTTGTCCATTTCTGTCAGTACACCATTGTCTTTTTAAAAATGGAGAAGAAAAATAAACCTTTTTGTTTTAGTTTTTACTTAAATTCCGGTTAGTTAACATAAAGTCGTATTAGTTTCAGGTATACAAAATAGTGATTCAGTATTCCCGTATTAACACTAGTGCTCATCACAGCACGTGCACTCCTTAATCCCTATCACTTGTTTCACCCTTCCCTCTCCCTACCTCTCCACAGGTAACCATCAGTTCTTTATAGTTAAGAGTCTGTTTCTTGGTTCGTCTCTTTTTGTTTCCCTTTTGCTCATTTGTTTCTCACATTCCACATATGAATGAAATCATGCTATTTGTCTTTCTCTGACCTATTTTGCTTAACATTATACTCACTACCTCCATGTTATTGCAAGATTTTTTTTCTTTTTGATGGCTCATATTCCATTGTATATGTATACCACATTATTATCCATTAATCAGTTGATGGGAACTTGACTTGGGCTGTTTCCATAATTTGGCTACTGTAGATAGTGCTGCTCTAAACTTTGGGGTGCACGTATCCCTTTGAATTCATATTTTTGTGTTCTTTGGATAAATACCTAGTAGTGCAATTGCTAGATCATACAATAGTTCAATTTTTAACTTTTTGAGGAAACTCTATACTGTTTTCGAGAGTGGCTGCACCAGTTTGCATTCCCACTAAAAGTGCAAGAAGATTCTCTTTTTGCTACATCTTCACTAACACCTGTTGTTTCTTGTGTTACTGATTTTAGCCATTTTTTTTTTTTTTTTATGTTTATTTTGAGAGAAAGATCAGGACAAGGGCAGAGACAGAGGAAGAGAGACAATCTCAAGCAGACTCTGCAATGATAGCAGCGAGTCCAATGTCAGGCTTGAACTCATGAACCACAAGACCATGACCTGAGCCCAAGTTGGACACTTAACCAACTGAGCCACCCAGACACCCCTGATTTTAGCCCTTCTGACAGGTGTGAGATGCGATCTCATTGTAGTCTCGATTTGTATTTCCTGGATGAGCGATGTTGAGCATCTTTTCATGTGTCTCTTGGCTGTCTGGATGTCTTCTTTGGAAAAATGTCTATGCATGTCTTTTGCCCATTTTTCAATTGGATTGTTTTTTGGGTGTTGAGTTTTATAAGTTCTTTATATATTTTGGATACTAAACCTTTATCAGATGTCATGTGCAAGTATCTTCTCCCATTCCATAGGTTGCCTTTTAGTTTTGTTGATGGTTTCCTTTGCTGTGCAGAAGCTGTTTACATTGATGTAGTCTCAATAGTTTGTTTTTGTTTCCCAGAAAATATGCTTTTTAAAGTTTGGAGGGGCGCCAGGTTGGCTCAGTCAGTTAAGCATCCAACTTTGGCTCAGGTCATGATCTCGCGGTTTGAGTTCTGGCCCTGTGTTGTGCTCTGTGCTGACAGCCTGAAGCCTGCTTCAGATTCTGTCTCCCTCTCTCTCTGCTCCCCCACTCACGCTTTGTCTCTCAAAAATGAATAAAAACTTAAAGTCTTACAACACATTTTAAATTAATTTTTTGTCGACTGTGTTCAACCTCTGAATATAAGTATGGTAGTTAATGTTGACGAAATTATTTTGTATTCAAACAGGGATGATTGTGATAAGTATGTTTTTCGTATGCAAAAAAACCATAAAAGTAAAGGTGGCATTGTCTGGGGCAATATCAAGAAAAAAACAGTAAGTACATTCATTCTTCATTTATTCATCACATCTCTTGAACAACTATAATAAATGACAAACTGGAGTTTTAAGTTATATAAAAGTCCTTGCCGTCAAAGTAAATAATCTTAGGGAATTATAATTTATGGAGGTACAAATGTGGAAGACCACCATGTCTCCTGATTGTATATTCCTTCTGATCAGGTAATGGCAATTTCTTTCTCACTCACCCATGTTGAAATATTTTTTCTCTAACAAGTATGCAATAAAATTCTTCTCAGGGAGTTTCTAAACTAAACATTGGAATTACATAATCACATCCAATCTTTATGGGTTTGATTTGTCCATAGGAAATGATAGACACTTCTGGGCATTGTGGTTTAAAATCAGCCTGGAGACTAAATTCTTCAAAAGAAATCTCTAAAATTGAAGATGTAAACAGACTCAGTGTTTCTTAGATTCCCTTTTTCCAGTCTCCTATTCCTTATGAGAATGAAACTTTGGTTTGTTGTGGAGGACCTGGAATCAACATAGTGAGAAAGATTTATTTGGTTCTAGTTGCTGTTTTGCCAGTGTGAAGTTAAGCTGCTTTGACAGAGAAGTCCCCTAGGGATCTTGTTAAACACCAGATTCTGATCCAGCAGATTTGAAATTTCTGCATTTCTAACCAATTCCGGGTGATGCCTGTGTTTCTGATCCGTGGTCCATACTAAGTAGTATCAAGGTCCTAATCCATTCAGTCTTTTCTCTCTGCACAATGATGAAAAGTTCGTATGGATACATCTATAAGAACCATTGCTGTTAATTTTTATTTCTCTGTATTTCTGACATCCTAAGCATTACTGGGCTTCTTTTTCTTAATGGGTCATAATGTTAGTAGTCTATAATATCTTTGTGATTTAGTCTTATTTTTTCATTGACTAATAGTTTGTAGCTCTCCATGTGAAGATAGCAAAGGATTTACTGTGAAAGATTTTGCTTTCAAGATCTGACTCACCATACCAGCTTTATAATAACAAAAGCTACCTGAGCTTTCTAATCTCATTTTATTCACATGAGACAATGTACCATCAGTGCTGGAATCATACTGATTTAAAGTCACTGAACGATTATGAGAGCTAAGTGATATTATAGTGTTTTGACTCCTTTCCCAAGAAAAAGTACATTTATGTCACAATCTGAACGCGAGAGTGCATCTTGAAAGTTTCAGCAATATTTACTTTTAGTACAGTGGATATGCCCTGTCATCTTTTCTATTCTATTCCTTTTCATTTTTTGAAGATAGCCAGCCATGGCCAGTAGTATAAAAAGCACTGATGTGATATGAAATACCATTTTAGACAATAATCTAAGTTTTGCTAGTGTAATAGAATGGAAGGAGTACCTAGATTTTGGCAGCTGTCAGAGGCCCACAGACTATCCTTTAACCTCTATAGCATTAGTTTGTAGTATTTTCTTATAGTTCTGTTTGCCAGCAGTGGGAAATAACTTTGAAGAAGTATTCTTTCCCTGGATAAATGCAACTTAATGGAGAATTAGATGTTTCACAGTTAATTATAATGTGATTAGGTATTGTTATAGACACGTGTTCAAGGTATACTCAGGGGTTGAAGCATGCTTTATTTTGTCTATGTTTGTGGCAGAATTCACAGCGGTACTATTTATTAACATGAACTGTCTTGCAGGTTGAAACTCACTTTTCAACTCCAACATCAAGAAAGAAAACCCAGTATAACAGAGGTAATTTATTTATATCTTTCTTTTGTAGTTCAGTTCTATTGTAAGACAGTCTCTTTATTAACATGGTATTAAAATTAACTGCTCACAAGTGGGCAGACCTACTATTCAGTTTCTCAGTTATTTTCAGTTTCACTGAAATTACTTTTAGAAGTACATTAATCTTTTTTATTAAACTTCTCTTTACAGAATTAGGAGAAAACTCTGGTTTTGGAAAACTTTTCACCAATGCTATGGAGTCTTTAGATGAAGAAGAGAAAGATTATTATTTTTCAAACTCCGATTCTGCATAGTATAAATGAGGAACTATTTCCAGGATTTTTGTCAAGAAGCAGACAGCGTATTTATATCTTTTTTGGAATACATGTTACTTTCCTTATAATGTACCTTCATATGAAATTGTGGATTCCTTCTCAAAGGTTTTAGGTGTTTGTATTGAGAGTAAAACATCCTTCTGTAGAATATTGCTCATCGATGTAGGTTACTAAAATATAAGGAAAGTTGTTTTGCTTGTATACATACTTGTAAATTTCTGTTTTTTGAACATTAAAATATTCTTGGTAAGTCTCTTTTAAGCATCTGTTTGATTTAAGAAAATCAGGTTCTAGACAGATTTTGTTTTTAAAGTGTCCAAGAAAATGTTGATACCCTTAAGAGGTAGGGAAGGGGTAATAAAAAGTAGACTGTATTGCTGGCTACAAATTCATGAAAACTGTGTTAGCATTTGTTACCACTTGATTTTTTTTCTTAAAACTTGGCATTGGCACATCTATGAAACCTATGTAAATTTATTACTTTTCTGTATTAGGTAGAGTCAGAGAATACATTTTGTCACATTAAGTCTTATTAACACATGCAGAAATAGTTTACATTTGGCCTCAATATTAAAAAGATTGGATTAGACAAACATTCAAGTAATTGATCTACCACTGTAAGTAGTCAAGTTAATATGCCATTTCAGAGTAAACATTATTTCAGACATCTCCTTTAGAAATAAACTTTTTTAAGCTTATTCTGTCATTCTGTTTTAAAATTTGACAGAATATTTCTCCTGTGGTTATAGCATGTATTATATTCAGTTACCCTTTCTCTCGTTAGATTATTCAAATAAAATTGTTTGCTTTTAGAACATTTGTATTTTGGTGGTGGTTGGTTGATTACTGAATCATTGAAACCAAATAGGCATTTTGTTATTAAACAAGCTTCAGTTTGTTTCCTCAAAAAACTACCGGAATTTTAATAAAACATACATGTTTTTAAGAATTCAGTCAGTTTATATTACTATAGGATTTATAGAAACACAAGATTTAAAAAGAATATTACAGTTAGACTGAGGTCATAATTGTTTCTGCCACAAAGACTTAGATGTAGGATGGATTATTTTATAGCGAAATACTATTGTAGAACTTGAGTTGCCAATATTTGGTATAAGACCATGCTGCTTATTAATGTTAGTGGAGAATGTTAACTCCTCTTAAGGAGTTAGAAGGTAGTTAAATTCCATAATGAGAAATAAAAGGATAATTTTGATATAGCACAGACTTAACACAAAACAAATAGTATGGCCTTCCCCCCCCCGCCCAATTTCCTCTGTCCTACTACAACTGCTTCAGTGTCCTTCCTAGTCTGTTTTATTGTATCCCACCTGCCAGGTACCTGCTTAGTCCCCCATCAGGTCATAAGATACACTAGGAAGACTTAAAGTAACCTCCAAAGGAGACTTAAAAGTGGGCTCAAAGATGATGGATTAATAATCAACAGGGCTGAAAGTTCAGTGCTACCAATAAGAGTATGAAGAAGGCTATTGCAGTTTAAATATGGATGAAGCTCTGTACACAGCAAGCACAAGTAAATGAAATCCTCTAGCTTATGTCCCCTTACAACATGAATACTTATATTCTGTCTGCCAGGTGGACAAAAAGAATTTGAGCACATTGGTGTCTGCATGGGAGATGCTGCAAGGTGGTCATCTGCCCACGTCAATGTCAGATTGCTGAGGTACAGCAGAGTTCCACCAAGTGTCCCCACCCACATGCAATGCTAACCCCATGTAGCAGGAGTAAGCAGCAGCAAAACACCACATTGGAACCAGAAAGAAGCCCCTTTCTTCCTTATACTGACAAAGCTTTTAAAATAATTTATAATCTATATAAATAAAAATGTACACCATATATAATAGATAATGGAAATATTATTTTACATATTTTAAACTTATCAAACTACAACAATCATTACTGCAATGCATTTAGTATTATGAACGTACTTTCATAACCGCACCTTGAACAGTATCATTATTCATCAGATTGTAGTCTCCCTTGGTTAAGGCCATTTGGTAACATTTGCATGTCAAATACATAGTGAAGGTATCTACAGATCTCCTCAGCCTTCTGGTGAGTTACTTGTGCATATGTGGAGATTTCTTGAGGTGAGCTGAAAAATAAATTAGTAGAACTTTTGACTTAATACAATTTAGTATTCTTACTTGCTTGAAGAACACCAAACATAAAAAATGATTTTTAGGAAAATCATTTCTTCTAAGCATTTTACATCTAGTTAGTATGTCCTTAGCATGGTTTAAATAAAACACATTTATTCCCTATACTCAAAGTCATCTATAACAATAGTTTCAACATCTTACATTGGCCTTTAATTTAAAATTACTTATTTTCTAAAATTTTCCTTTTCAAGCAATAATCAAAAACTAGTAAAAATCTGCACTGTGACATTTTTTAGTTCTAGAATTAAAAGGCCCAGAAATGTTAGAATGCAAGATCAAATATAAGAGTTTCCTGTCTAGCTCCCAGGACTCTAAGCTCCCCAAAGGCGGTGCCTATCTTTTCCCTCCATTCTGTCCTCAACTTCACGCAGTGACTGTAATATATTGGGAAGCAAAAAGTCTTTACTGAATGAGGTCTAATAAGCACTATACATCTTTATTTTTTAAAAAAATACTACCATTTCTATGAAGTATTTCTAAGAATCATTTAGGTAACCATTTAAAAATATTAAGACCGACATACCTGTTAGTCATCTTTCTCACAGAAGAAAACCGGTGACACATATTTAATGCAGTTACATAACTTACATTGGGAATACTTAAATAAAACTGAAGTGCCTCACGTTTATTTCTGTTTACCACTGTTGGAACATGAATACCAACATTCTTTCTTTGTTCTACTGAAGACAGTTCCTTTAGCAAATCTGCAGTTTCTTCTTGGCAGGAACTGAAAAGAACTCGGATTCCAGCAGCAATTAACGTAGTCAACAAGTTGTCGTAGCTCTTTGTTCTCCTAAACATCCTGGATGTGTCTCCTAAATATTTCATATTTAGAAAAATGCAAACTTGAGTAACTTACATTAAGTAGAATCATTAATACTATATTTTATATTATTAAAATCCCAAGATCTACAACCATTATGCAAACTAGTCCCATATTATGGTAATGAGAAACCCCACAACTAAAGATTTAAAGTGACTCAAATATCTGGGAGATAAAATAGGAAGAACTATCTTTATGAGTATCTTCAATTAGTATCAAATAGTAAGAGTAGGCAGAGGAGGGCTTCTATTCCTGGATAATTGATTCATAAAGACTGAGACCATATTACTTATCTCTAAAATTCTTCTTAATGCTAGAACTGATGAATGGCTCAAGTATTGGCTTAATTGATATAAAATCTTACGTATCTATTCCAAGAGTAACCCAAAACCCTACACACCCATTTTAATCTCCTCTTTAACTCTTGCCTCTGAATTTACTTCCCTACCTTTCCATTCATTTTTTTCTATATTCTATCCTCCATCCTTTTTTGGGCATTCTTCACTATGGAAAAACAGAACTTTTTACATAACTCCCCCCAACCCCTGTAACTTTTGCCATGTTACTTTCCTCTTTGTTCCAAATTTATTTCCCTTATAAAGGGTATGTTGGTGAAGAAGAAATTATAGAATTTTAGCACTAAGAAGACACAAGAAATCACTGAATATAAACCCCTCATTTGTCAAATAAAAAATAAAATTAAAAACTTGGTTACTGAAAGCGTGACTTATCCAAGACCACAGTTTACCAGTGATAGCATGGGGATAAAAAGGTACAACACTCAATTACCAAACCAATGTTTTATATAAACTACATTATTTCCTTTTACTATATATATATAGTAATATATATATATATATATATATATATATTACTGAGATATATACTGTTATAACTGTATAATTCTTGAATTCTTCCATAGTGGCTTTTGCGTATATGATTAATCCTCATAATATCAAAAGATGAATAGGACAAGTATATTATTAATCCCTAGGAGGGAGTGATTTTTCAATGCAACATCACATAGCTGTAGTGACACCAGAACTCGGTGTCTTCTGATTCCATATTCCATGACCTTTACACCATCCTCAGGCGTCCCCCTGCAATTAAATATTACCCACAGAAATTCCCTAACTGAAGCTTCTATACACCTATTGGAGCTACCAAATAAGAACGCAATGTGTCCAACTGAACACCCCTTGTCCCTCAAATCTGCTCTTCTCTGCTATTCATGATTTCAATAAAGAGTACCACTACCTAACTGCACAGTGACCAAGAAACTGGTCAACACAAGAGTAATTCTTGGGGTGCCTGGGTGGCTCCATCAGTTAAGCATCAGACTCATTTCAACTTTTCAGGATCCCATGGTTTGTGGGTTCAAGGCCTACTTCAGGCTCCACGCTGGTAGCGTGGAACCTCCTTGGAATTCTTTCTCTCCGTCTCTGCACCTTCCCATTCATGTGTGTGCACGCACACTGGCGCTCTCGCACTCGGTCTCTCAAAATAAACTTAATAGAAAAAAAAGAGTAATTCTTGCCTCCTTCCAGCAACCTCTACTAATCTTGCCTCCTAAACCCCAAGTCCTTGTCCTTTTCCCCACTGCTGCCTTAAAGGCGCTCATCTTTTCTGGGGCTCCTGAGATAAGACATGTTGGTTCACTTGCCTTCAGTTTCTCACCTTTTAATCAAACTCATTTAAACACAATGAGTAAAAAATCCAGAAATAAAGCAACCTATTTGTATAGTAAAAAACAAAACATAAACACAATGACTAATGAAAAGCATGGCTTTACATAAATATGAAGTAACATTTATGAGTCAGGCATTTATATTTTAAGAGTTTTCCACATTCTGACTATAGAAGAGTGAACTAAATAATAGCTGAGTTCCTTTACAGCCTTACAAACAAAAACATTTAAAAATACAAACCTGTTTTTTCTCTGTCCTTTTCCACAATCACACATATTCTTTCAAACATGCTTTGTAGGTATTGGATCTGGTCAATGAGCTTGTTCTTATTGATACTATTTAACATCTCAGATTGAGACCTCCTTTCTACCACCATGCGGTTACTCACAATGTAATCACAGCCATTAAGAGGACAAACTTCTACATGTAAGCCATGAACTGCTCTTAGGGAAGAAATTACTTCTGAACCAGAAGTGACTTCACAACTATCTACAAGAATACAAGTTCTTTGGCCTTCCTGTGGAAGTCTCAGAGATGTATGTGTGCCAGCTAAATGTGGTCTTGAGTTGGAACAGTATGCCATTGAAGTGCTAGAATCCTCCAGGGCACTACCAACCTGCAAAGGTGGAAAATATTGGTAACAATCAGGTTAAATATATATTAGTGCCAAAAACTTCTAACACCTGAAGTTGATTTTCCTTACTGATATTTTCTTTTTTCTAACTTTTTTCTTCTTCCTTCAATATGACCAAAGTGACTCTATACATGAAGGACCAAGCTATCACTTCACACCTAGTAGGATGGCTAAAATTAAAAAACAAAATAAAACAGTAAATCTTATTAGAATGTGAAAAAAACCGAACATACATACCTGGTGGGAATGTAAAATAGAGCAGCCACTGCAATTTTTGGCAATTGCTCAAAAATTAAAGAGAACTGCTATATGACCCAGTAATTCTATTCCTAGGTTTATACCAAAAAGACCTCAAAACAGAGACTCACAAACTCATTTGCCAGTGTTCGTTAACTTTGGAAAATTCTCAGCCGTTGCCTGTTTAAATATATTTTTCTATCTTTTCCTCTCAATTCCAATTACATGTACCTTAGACTATTGGATACAGTCCCACAGCTTTTGGATGCTCCATTCCCCTCTCTTTTCACTCTCTGTGTTTCATATTGGGTAATTTCTACTGGCCTAGCTTCAAGTTTCTTGGTGTTTTCTGCAGTTGTGTGGAGTCGACGGATAGGATCATTAAAGACAGTCTTCACCTGGGATGCCTGGGTGGCTCAGTCGGTTGAGCATCCAACTCTTGATTCTAGCTCAGGTCATGATCCCAGGTTCATGGGATAGAGCCCTGCATCAGGCTCTGCACTAAGCATGGAGCCTGCTTAGGATTCTCAGTCTCTCTTTCTCTCTCTGTCTCTCTATCCCCCCGACCCCCATTCACCTGTGCTTTCTTTTAAGAAAAAAAGTTTTTAGGGGCGACTAGGTGCCTCTGTCGGTTGAGTGTCCGACTTCAGCTCAGGTCATGATCTCACGGTTTGTGGGTTTGAGCCCCGCATTGGGCTCTGTGCTGACAGCTAGCTCAGAGCCTGGAGCCTGCTTCTGATTCTGTGTCTCCCTCTCTCTCTGACCCTCCCCACTCACACTGCCTCTCTCTCAGAAATAAATAAAACATTAAAAAAAAATTTTTTTTAAGTTTTTAAAAAAGATATTCATTCTTACTATGCTTTCCATTTCTAGCATTTCCACTTTCTTGTTCTTAACAGCTTCCATTTCTTGAATGATAGTCTCTTTCTGTTCATACATGTTCATTTTATTTTTCCCCTAGAGCCTAACATATTGATCAAGGTTATTTTAAAATCCCTGTGTGTTATTTCCAATATCTGAGTCATATCTAAGTCTGGTTTTTAAGAACATGTTTTTATCTTCCTTCTATGTATCTTATAATTTTTGGTTGAAAGCCAAACATCTTATGTAAGACAATACTAATTAAGGTAAATAGCCTAGAAATAGGTATGCCTTTTTTTGTTGCTGTTACACTTGTAGTTTGTGAGGTTGACTCAATCCAATCAAAAGCTGAGATGACTTTGGGTTTTCTTACTGCTAATGATTACCCTAGGGACAACCAGAGGCTTCAAACTCCCAGTGTTATTTTGCATTTAGGGTGGGATAAGGTTTGTCAGATGATTTTTCTAAATGTCCTCTCAGCTTCAGATCTTCTCTGTTCCCTTGCACCTTAAAGAGGTTCTTTCCCTGAAAGAACACTCTTGTCCCTGTCTCAGGGGATGACTGCTTTTATTTGTTCCTAAGTGCTGACTAGCCTGCATGGAGGGGATGCTAGGAGCACGGGGTGGCAAGGTGGCAGGGCAGGAGAAGAGGGGGAGTTCTGCTCTCCTGCCTCAGCCTGAGCAGCACTTGTGTCTGTCAGTTCCTGAAACAGGGTCTTCTCAGTGATCCTGCCCTCCTTCCCCATAGCTGGAGGTCTCTTAATGATCTAGGCCCAACATGTTTTCATGCCCCTGACTCACGTACAGAACAGTTTTTAATTCTTGCCTTCCTCCATCTGTAAAGGGTCTTCTTCATCTAGACCCTGAGGTATAGCTACAAGGTCGGCTGGTCATCCTCAGCAGCTTACAACTTTTTGTTCTATACGGGATACAGGGCAGAGGAACCAGATGGGGTTTGTTATGTTTTCCACAGTACATGCTGGTCACTGCCCCCAAGGCCTGGCATCAGCAAGGGAGGCTTTCTCTGATTCTCAACCTTTCCTGTGAATACCCAGTGAATCTATGGAGGAGAGCCCACAAAAGTTTATGAATTCCCCTTCTGTCTGCAATTCCCAGGGGTTTTAAACTCTCATGCTAGTTCACCGCCTTTTGCAATTTATTAAAGTTTCAGCTGAATAATTCTTCTTATCAAAATATATAGTGCCCAGGGACTGTCCCAAATCAGTAAGTCTCTCTTTGGAGGCACTTGTTTTTCCTTAGAAATGAGACCAATTGGTTGTCCTGCACCCTCAGCTCCATAATAGTTTCAAATAAAACCATGATTCTGGAGATTATCTGGCTTGTTGTTGTTGTTGTTACTAGGATGGAACAGTGTTCTTTCCCGTTTTCTGGAAAGGCAGAAATCCTAATCATTCAGAAAATAATCTTTAAAATAATTCAGTATTCAGTTTCAAAACCAATCAATATAGTAAAGGAAAAATTGGCACTAAAGAACCAAACAAAAATATTGGAACTACTTCACTATTTTGAAGTAGAAAATAGCTTCCTAAATAGGACACTGAAGTTCAGAAACCAAAAAGAAAATAATTGAGACTGTGTAAAAAAAGTTACTTCTTCCTATGGCAAAAGCCACCATAAACAAACAAAAAGGCAAATGATCCACACGGAATACTTTTTGCAATATACATGACAAAATAAATGTTAACTTTTTTATATATATATCTAACAGTTTTTTTACAGGATAGTTCATCTATTTTCTGTTTTCTTAAAATTACCTCAAATCCTTTCCCCTCCTATTTTCAAGTGAGAAGAATCATACTACATGGAATTATAGGGTAACAGGAGAAAATTTAAGACAAATTTCTGTAAAAATCTGTGTGTCCTTTTTCACAGTCCCCAAAGTATTACGAAGCCTGTATCCATTTTTTAGTTAGAGCATGCCAATGCAGAAATGTAGCTAGTGGTTTTCAAAGTATTGTGCATATACAGATCTTTCTCCACTTGCAATAAGATTACCTCTCAATAAGCCCATAAGTCAAAAAGATCTTAAGTAGAAAATGCATTTAATACTAACCTACCAAACATCATAGCTTAGCCTAACCTACCCTAAATGTGCTCAGAACACTTATATTGGCCTACAGCTGGGCAAAAACCATCTGATATAAAGCCTGTTTTATAATAAAGTGTTTGAATATTTCACGTAATTTATTGAATACTATACTGAAAGTGAAAAACAGGATGACTGTATGAGTACATAAAGTTTTAAGTGTATCAGCTATTTGCCCTTGTGATCATGTGACTGACTGGGAGCTATGGCTGCCAATATGATGGGTATCATACTGCATGTTGCTAAGCCAGGAAAACATGAAAATTCAAAATTTTAAGTATGGTTTCTAACAGAAACCATATTGCTTTCACACTATCATAATGTCAAGCTGAACCATTGTGAACCCGGGACCTACCTACCTTGACCCTTGGGATTACCATCTTTACACTACAGCTGAGCATACTGAAGTTCAGAGAAATAAAGTAGCCTCTATTTCCCCAATCTATCACAAGACTTAACCTAGTGAACTTAATTATGTCTTGAAGAAATAACATTGTGCAAAAAAGCGTAGGGACAATTTAAATCTGGAAACATTAATTTATGAGCCCCTGGGTCAACAATGGAGCATGCTGCAAAAAGCAAAATGGCCTGAAAAACCTGAATACTACAGAGAAACAGAAGGTTAGGTCTAGGTCTCACTCCAAGATGACCATTAAGGAAAGGAATCAGTTACGTACAGTTAGGGAGGGATTCCTGTTACTAAACCTTTAATTAATTAACCCCTATTTTAACAAAACTACTATAACTATAAACTCTTAAACTATAACCCACATAACTATAAAATCTTAAAAACTAAAAGTGGTTTTAGGGATGGATTATTTCAGCAATTATAAGACAAGGAGAAGCAGGAAACTGGAATATTAGCCATTCTAAACAGAGAAATTTAAAGGAAGTGAATCAGGTAGTGTCCCTAAACTTCTCCAATAAAGAGAGTTACATACCTGAAGCCTTCAGTGGGGTAAAGAAAAGTTAATCTGTGGAATTCACTCTGAGCATGTAATTTTTGTTAATTTTATCTTGCAGGAAACCTATTTTCCTATATCCTAGCTAGTTTCCTTACAGAGTTTTACTAAGAAAACTATGATCACACTTAAAAAACTAAAACCTAATGGGGTACCTGAATGGCTCAGTTGGTTAAGCCTCTGACTCTTGATTTCCACTCAGGTCATGATCTCACAGTTTGTGGTTCAAGCCCCACACTGGGCACTGCACTGACAGTGCAGAACCTGCTTGGGATTCTCTGTCTCCCTCTCTTTTCCCGTCCCTGCCCTCTTTCTCTCAAAAATTAAAATTAAAACCTAAGTATCCTTATACAAATTATCAATATAACCTACTGTGCTATTTTCTTGTTAGAAAATTTTTACCACTTCCTAAGTTTTCTTTGACCTAGTTATTTAATACAAAACACAAAACACAAAAGAAAGTAAAACAACAGGGGCTCCTGGCTGGCTCAGTCAGAAGAGCATGGGACTCCTGACCCTGGGGTTGTGAATTCAAACCCCACACTGGATGTATAAATAAATAACTAAACTTAAAAAAAAAAAAAAAAAAGGCAAATCAACAAAAAAAACCTTTTGGTAAACATAAAGCTTTTTCTCTTATTTGATTCATACCTTCAAATGAATTGGAAATTTTCTACAGTCCTTCTGTGAATCAACAGTAGGGAATGATGGTAAAGTAGGTTCAGTTTTATTACAGCTCTGAGGTTTGAAATCCGAGATATCAGAAACCGCATCCTTTAAAGTGACTGGTGTCTGTCCTCTCTGCTTTGGTGACTGATTAACAACTGGATCAGAATGGTCCTTGGACTGCAATAAAGACCCAAAAGGCACTCTATTCGAACAATGGTCCTGCTGTTTGCTCTTATGAACAGTGGCTGGGTTAACCACAAGACTGGATTCTCTTTTTTCATTTACATTGTTTTCCTCCTCACTTGAGTCACCTGGTAAAATAATTCTGGATAATTTCTTTTTTGAATGTGCACAATTTTGTCTCATCTCTATTTGTTTTAGCTTTACTGCATGTCGGGTTCTATATTTTTTACTCCCACTTGCAAGGCAATCCTCAGTTATTATGTTAAAATCAACGCACACTTCTTCTTCACTCGATTGACTTTTGTAAGATTCATCTTCATCAACACAAAAACTGTCTTCTAAATAGGTTTCATCTTGCTCAGGAATCTACAGTAAAAGTACAAATTAGCATATAAATTTCTTTTGTAAAATCAGTATGTATTTAACATTCTTTTAAGACATGCGATCTTTCTAATGATTTCACTTACTTTATTAATTCAGTCACTTGTGCTCACCTAACAAATACTGAGTATATTCTTTACGGGAAAATTATGAGGAGATTGGGATTAAAAAAAAGAATGATTTACTCTCTAGAAATTTATAGTCTCTTATAGGTAGCCAGACAAATAAACAATTTATAGGCAATGTGACAAGGGCTACATAACAAACACAATGGAAGTACAGAGAAATGAACATTAACACGATGAATATTGGCAATTTATAAATAAAGAAGACTACTGTGCAAATGGTGTCCATAAATCAAAAATAATCCCTAATTTTAGAAAATGCCTTTATAAAAAAATAATTAAGACAAATAAAAGAACATATAAAAATAAAAAATTCTATTCACTTCTTTTAAATATTCTCCTAATTGGAAAACAATTCAATAGTATATTCTAATCAGATCAAATAACAGATAGGATAATTTGATCAAATTAGGACCAAAAGGGATTCTGAGAATTCATTTAGTCCACCTTTTTGAGTCAGGGCAGAAATTATCCCAAATAGTTCTGACAGTCCAGTTCTAGAAACAAAATGGAGACCTCATTACAGGAACTTGAGATCTCAACATTATCATCAGGAAATCCTCCACTATATTTCTATAGTTCATACCTGTGAGAAAATATTTATGTTGTTATGTTTCTTACGGACCATTTTATACCGATTGTTTATCAGTGGACTACGCAAAGACTTCATGTAAACAGCTCTCATTTCAGAATCTGTGTAAAGATAGTAAGAATTTCAAGTAGCAGAATTATTTAAATGAAAACTAGTAAAGTATTTAACTTTGACCTATTCCAAATTCACATCATTCAAACCTTGTGGAATTATTTTATACAAAAGATATTTAATATGCATTGGAACAAGTCTAAAAACAATTATTAAAAACTGTGAAGTTAGGGGCGCCTGGGTGGCTTAGTCGGTTAAGCGTCCGACTTTCGCTTAGGTCATGATCTCGCGGTTCGTGGATTCAAGCCCCGAGTCGGGCTCTGCGCTGACTGCCAGCTCAGAGCCTGGAGCCTATTTCAGAGTCTGTATCTCCCTCTCTCTCTGACCCTCCCCTGCTCACGTTGTCTCTCTCTCTCCTAAAAATAAATAAAAAAAATATTTAAAAAAAAAAAAAAAAACTGTGAAGTTAGTTTTGCCTTTGACATCAGACCATCTGGTTGGATGATTGTGACCTATTCCAATTTCACATCATTCAAACGTTGTGGAATTATTTTATACAAAAGATATTTAATATGCATTGGAACAAGCCTAAAAACAATTATTAAAAACTGAAGTTAGTTTTGCCTTTGAAATCAGACCATCTGGTTGGATGTTTGTGACAACTTTTTTAAGCTCTCTGCCTTAGCTATCTCTCTCCTCTGATAATGAGTATTAAGGTAGTGTCTTTTTATGAAAAATAAATGTATTTGAAAATCTGAGGCCTGTACTTGACTTATGGAAAGTACTAAATAAAACACAAGAAATCCAGGCAAAAAAGAAAATGCGCTTAAAAATATCAAAAGACACAGCTAATAGTAAGATCGTTGCATAACTTTCAGTCAGGCAAAACCTGGGAAAACATGTGTTTTTATTTATGTCTACTTTCAAGTTATAATCAGAAATCAATTTTGTTTTTGTCTCATTTTCCCTTACATTTTTTGAAGCAATTAATCAACTTAGGTTATTTTCAGGGCTAATTTAATGATCACAATGCCTGGGACAGGATGTATAATTTTTTCTTTGAATAATATTCCCCTTCCCTCCATTCCACAGCATAGCTATCAATACTAGATATCCTCCTGATTACCTACCCACTCCTTACTCATGCTAAATCCCTATAAACTTAGTGAGACTTTACTTCTAATTTCTTATTTAGAAGGACTCGGGATCAAGGAGCTTTCAGAGACTTTTTTTTTGTGTCATAGATTTTTTTTTTTGGTATAATGTAAATACAGTAAAATGCATCCTCCTTCAGGATACAGTTGTCTTGACAAATGCATCATTATGACAAACAATAATCTATTTGCTGTCCCTATTGTTTTAACCTTTTCCCAAATGTTGTACAAATGACAAACAAAAAAAACTTTGAAATCCAACATATTTTATTTATTTTTAAAATCCTACATATTTCTTGGGGTGCCTGGGTGGCTCAGTTGGTGAAGCATACGACTCCAGCTCAGGTCATGATCTCACAGTTTGTGGGTTCAAGCCCACATTGGGTTCTGTGCTGACAACTAGCTCAGAGCCTGGAGCCTGCTTCAGATGCTGTGTCTCCCTCTCTCTCTGACCCTCCCCCCGTTAATGCTGTCTCTCTCTCAGAAATAAATAAAAAACATCTAAAATTTTTTAAATAAATAAATAAATAAAACCCTACTTATTTTAAATGCACTCTGTCTAAATGGAGTTTCAGGGAGTTATGGGTGGCTCAGTCAGAAGAGCAGACAACTCTTGATCTTGGAGTTGTGAGTTCAAGCCCCACACCAGGTGTACAGATTATTTAAAAAATTTTTTTTAAATTTTTAAATAAAAATAAATAAAATGGGGTTCAGATCTCCTTACTTTCCATCCTAAGGGCTCCACCTGTAGCCTGCCCAATATCAGACAACAACAACTATGTCCTTTCTGTTGTCCAAATGCACTGATTCTTCTTTTATTCTCAAATTCATCAGAAAACCCTGGAAGCTGTAAGTATCCACAATCCAATCTTTCTTACCCTGGCACTAGTGCCACACTGGTAAAAGACTGTATCATTCTTTAGATTATTGCGATGACCTTATAATAGGTCTCTTCCCCTACGTTTGCTCCCCTATAGATCATTCTCAACAGCAAAGCTAGAATGATACTACTAAAATAAATCAGACGTGAGCTGGGCACTGCTTGTTGTCTTTGCATCATTATTCCCCGCCAGATTAATGCTGCAAACCTCCAAAAGCCACTCTGTTAATGAACATAAAGGACATAATACTAAGAAACCTTATTTGGCAAATTATATCAGTATCAAGGACACAGTACTGAGAAGTTAAGTCTCTAAAACCTTTTAAAAAGATTCTTTTTAATGTATTTTATTTTAGTTTTTGAGAAACAGAAAGAGAGAGTGAACATGGAAAGGGCAGAGACAGAAGGAGACACAGAATCTGAAGCAAGCTCCAGGCTCTGCACGATGTGGGGCTCGAACCCATGACCACAAGATCATGACCTGAGCCAAAGTTGGATGCTTAACCAACTTTTAGGCACCCCTAAAATCTTTTTTTTCTTTTAAGTAGAGCTTGGGAATATTTGCTGTATTACATCACACAAATATAGTACAGGAGCAGAATAAATAGCAAGATCCATGAAAGATTAGAACACTGAAAATCTCACCAGATTCTTTCCTATTTCTATTACAGCCAATCTGACTTATCTGTAATTAATGTATTACATATAAGACCTGTTCAAGCATTGAGTGGAGAGACTGATTTCCAAAAGCAGATCTCTCTTATTTGGCAAAGTTAATAAATTTAGGTTTGTATCTGACCTACTTTTGACAGTCAACATTGGAGGCGTCTGGGTGGCTCAGTTAGGCATCCGACTTTGGCTCAGGTAATGATCTCAGAGTTCGTGGGTTCAAACCCACATCGGGTTCTGTGCTGACAGCTAGCTCAGAGCCTGGAGCCTGTTTCAGATTCTGTGTCTCCCTCTCTCTCTAACCCTCCCCTGCTCACACTGTCTCTATCTCAGAAATTTAAAAAAAAAAACAACAGCCAACATTGCTCAAGTCCTCGTTGCCTTCTAGTCTTTGATCAAATGTCATCTTCTCAATGGAGCCTATCCCTAATTCCCTTATTTAAAGTTACACAGTGGGGCGCCTGGGTGGCTTAGTCGGTTAAGCGTCCGACTTTCGCTTAGGTCATGATCTCGCGGTTCGTGGGTTCAAGCCCCGCGTCGGGCTCTGTGCTGACTGCCAGCTCAGAGCCTGGAGCCTGTTTCAGAGTCTGTGACTCCCTCTCTCTCTGACCCTCCCCTGCTCAAGCTGTCTCTCTCTCTCCTAGAAATAAATTAAAAAACATTAAAAAAATATTTAAAAAAAATAAAGTTACATGGTGCCCACTGTTAATACCCCTAACCCCTGCTACTCCAAATCCTCATCATACTCATCATACTTTTTTTTCATTTTTCTGTAAGTTGTTGTGTATACTGTTTGTCTCCATTCACATGTAAACTTCACAAGGGCAAGGATTTTTGTCCACTGATAAAGCTTTTGCAAGAACTTTACATAGTACCAGCACACAGTAGTCACTAAATATTTCTTAAATGAACATCTGACACTGAGCTAACCAGGTCATTCTGGTAATATATGATCAAAATAGCAGAAGCCTATAAGCAACCAAGTCTAAAATAAAGCAAATATTACAGAATTTGAATGAAAGTGACCAAATACTTCACACATACCAAATTTCTTCCTTTAAAACTCAAAGATCTTTAAAAGCTAAAATATTTAAACATAACCACATTAAAGGCACTGAAAACTAAAAGAAAAAGAAGCATCAATATTTCATTTACCATTTATATCTTGTGAAAGTTGAGTTTCATCATTTAGGAAGTCAAGTAATGAGGAGTCTTGTTCATTTTCTGACTGATCATTTTCATCTGATGAAACAAACTCTGCCTCTCGTTGGGAAAGATCTGCTTCATCATCTAAAAACTTTCTAGCTGCAAGCTATGACAAATTAGACAACAAGGAGACACACTTAAGAATATCATTTACTTTCTTACATAATTGGAAATAGTTTTGTAAAATGGATTTCTTGCCAATGCTTTAAAGAAAAAAAAACTTCAAGAAGAAATGGACAAAGTAGCATGTGTTTTTAAAATTTCTTCTGATAATTCTACTGTACGTAAAATACAGTATAAGTCAATATGTCAGCTTGCTGAATGTTTCTTAATAAGCAGAAAGTTTCCTGAGTCTTCTGGCTAATTAATTTTTTCCAGAAATACCGCACCACAAAAAGACTGATTAAAAACAAAAAGGGTGTTAAGAATTCTTTTCCAAGGATCAGAATATCACACAGACATAAAAATGATATACTGATTGTAAAAACAAATATTCTAAGGGGCTCCTGGATGGCTCAGTCAGTTAAGCATCAAACTTCGGCTGATGTTATGATCTCACGGTTCATGAGTTCTTAACCCGTGTTGGGCTCTACACTGACAGCGTGGAGCCTGGAGTCTGCTTCGGATTCTGTGTCTCCTTCTCTCTCTCTGACCCTCCCCCCATCATGTTCGCTCTCTCTCTCTTTCTCAGAAATAAACATAAAAATTTTTTAAAAAACAACAAATACTCTAAAATTCAGATTTCTGTCTCTGTATTTTTTGTTTGAATCTGAAATTTTCACTAAAGTATCTTCATTTAGTCATTAAAATAACAAAGTACTGAAAGATAATTTCAGAACACAAAAAGAAACAAAACTATCACACCTTGAGATTTTAATTTCAGAAAACAAATTAGGGTCAAAATATTTTTAATTTTTGAATATTTTCTATAAAGAAATTGTAACAAGAAATATACTCCTAATGTAAAAACTAATTTTTATTAATAATATATATATTTGTGTCTGTATACATATGTATACATATATATGTATACACATATTTGTATAAATAAGAAAATGAAGGAAGTTTACCTTAAGGTGACTCTGTTTCTTTTGGACTTTGATGCGTCTTTTTGCATTCCTGTTATGACTCTTGAAGTCTTCTAATTGTGGATTTTGTTCGTGAAAGCTGTCACTCTCATCACTAGATGATAATTCTAACTACAATAATTCAATAAAATTCTTGATTAAGAAAATATAATTGAATTAAATTTTAATGTATTTCTCACGAGTTTTTGCTTTTATTTTCTATTTTTAATTTTTAAATAGCTAACCTAACTTTTTTTTGTTATAAAAATAAAATATTCTCACAACTCAAAGCCATATTAAAAATACATAATACTTTAAAATAATGTAAAAGTTGGGGCCCCTGGGTGGCTCAGCTGGTTAAGCATCTGACTTTGGCTCAGGTCATGAACTCACAGTTTGTGAGTTCGAGCCCCACACTGGGCTCCATGCTGACAGCTCAGAGCTTGGAGCCTGCTTCGGATTCTGTGTCTCCCTCTCCCTCTGCCCCTCCCCGGCTCATACTCTCTCTCAAAAATCAATAAACATTTAAAAAAAAAAAGAATTCAAAAATTAAGTGATGCTAAGTACTAAACACTAAATTAGGTACTACTATAGTCTTCATTCAATTTAGTAAACATCAAATGCATATGATGAATACTTATAGTTTTAAATTATCTCTTCTAGAGGATCCTAAAGGGCTGTACAAAAATTAAAGAAGATATATAAATATAACTCTCAGAATCAGTTGTCAACATACGGCCCTTTCAAACCAAGAAACGACTAAAACCGTAACAAATTTTGAAAATGAAGCCCATCACTAGATCTCTTCAGAATAATATAAAACCAATCAAATGAATCAAAAGTTTACCAAAACAATTTCAAATAACAGGAATAATTTTACTTTAAAATGGACTGATTGGGGTGCCTGGGTGGCTCAGTAGGTTAATCGTCCAACTTCTGCTCAGGTCATGATCTCGCAGTTCGTGGGTTCGAGTCCCGCATCGGGCTCTGTGATGACAGCTAGCTCAGAGCCTGGAGCCTGCTTTGGATTCTGTGTCTCCTTCTCTCTCTGACCCTCCCTGCTCATGCTGTCTCTCTCTCTCTCTCAGAAATAAAAACATTTTTAAAATAAATAAATAAATAAATAAATAAATGAAACTGATCATCAGCATTGTCAATATTTTAATTCATTTATGATGAGTCAGTCAGACATTCTAATTAAGGTAGCAAGTTAAAGCAATTTTCCCAGTGAAGTGTTCTAGGAGTATACAAAGTAAACAAGAATTGATTACATTTTTAATAATGTTGCAGTTTCTCCTAAACTACATTTGAGAATTAAAACACACAATATAGCCTAATCTCAACTTTTAGTTATCAGTTATAAACTGATAGCCTTCAGATCTACCCCTCTACCTAAACTTCAGTTTCACTCTCACCAATGCCTACCAGACACTATCACATCACTATTCCATAAATTCCCCAAACTCAAACATGCTGAACACTGAATTTATCATCATTTTGTCTTCTATAAATTTGTGACACATATTCCATACAGCCCTAGCCAAAAACCAGAGACTCATCTTGAACTCCTTCCTTTCCTTCTTTCAAACCCATTCAGTAAGAATGAAAGAATAAAGCCTTCCAGAAATTGACCTAGATTTTTCTGCAATTTTACTTCTTGGCACTCTTTGTCTTTACAATCCAGTAATAAAGAGACGCTATTTCCCTGCTTTGTGTCATTCATTAAGCTGTTAGCTTTCTTGGCAAGCCTTCCCCTTGGCTTATTACCACATATGCTCTAAGATATTTATTATCATCAAGAAACATTCCAGAACTCTAATGGACTAAGCTAAAGGCTTGTACTTTTTTATCAATTATTAAGAAATTATATTGAAATTATTTGTTTATTTCTCTGTCTCTGTTAGACTGTAGGTGACTTAAGACAATTCAAGGATATCATATTTATAGTAGTATCCTGAGCATCTTACACAGTAGATATAGAGCAGATATTTAGTGAACTGCTGAAGAGTACTGACTAAAGTAAGAATAGTTCTTAAAGAAGTATAAATTTGAAATAGAAATTTCAATGACATAGGATTTGCTATTTTTGTGTTAACCATATACATATTAGATCAAATACACCTACATTCACCTACACATATATTTTTCTTGTAATATTTACTCCAAAAGAATTTGAACTACTATACATCATTATCTACTTACTTTGTTTAGAGGAGCTCTGCGCTTTTTCAGAGCATGAAGTGGGGAATCAACTTCACTATTTTTCTCATCCTGGATAAAGTAGATAAACAGATTAAAAGTTTTAAAAAAAGACTTAAGGGGAAGTGCAAATAGGGAGGGGGAAGCCTTTATATGATCGTATTGTTATGATTACTGACTCACCTCAGGGGATTCTAAAACATTTCCTATGGTTTTTTTACTTTTTCTTCGGAAAATCTCATCTTCACTTTCATTGCTTGTTAATTGTTCATCTATAATTTATGAAAATGAATCTGGTCAATAGATTAAAGTTCATCCACAACTATTTTGATTGGGTACATTATTTAATGGGGTTTTTTATGTTTACTTATTTTGAGAGAGAGCGTGCAAGCAGAGGAGGAGAGAGTGAGAGAGGGAGAGAGAATTCCAAGAAGATTCCATGCAGTGCAGACCCCAACATAGGGCTTGATCTCATGCACTGTGAGATCATGACCTGAGTTGAAATCAGGAGTTGGCTACTTAAATGATTGAGCCAGCCAGGTGCCTAATGGGTACCTTATTTAAAAAGAGTTTTTCAGAAGTCTGGCCAAAAAAATCAGCATGAAACAAACATAAAACAGTGCCAGTGAGGAAATTAAGAGGTGATAACTTCTGCTAATAACCACATATTTAACTCAAACAATGCATTTGTATAAATATATTTATATTCCCCATAGTTAAGTATAACGCTAGAAAAAGTTTTAATGAAAATGTGACACAAAAATAGAAAAAATTATCTCACCCATTAACAGATTTAATATAAAGGTGTAAAAAGCAAATACTGAAGGCTCAAAGGTAACACAAATTTGATAAAAATTTAAGTGTCAGAGTATATCCAAAACTATGCAAAAGTTTTAAAAAATTAAACATATTTCCAGAACTTAAGCTTTCATCTTAAATAAAACATTCATAAATCATGTCCTTGATACCAATGAGAATAACATAATAAAAGATTTACATCTCAACAGATGCAGAAAAAGCATTTTGCAAAATACAGCATTCTTTCTTCATAAAAATCCTCAGGAAAGTCAGAATAGAAAGAACAAACCTCAAGATCATAAAGGCCATATACAAAAGACCAACAGCCAATATCATCCCCATTGTGGAAAAACAGCCTCCCCCTAAGAGAAGGAACATTACAAGGATGTCCACTCTCACCTCTGTTATTCAACATAGTGTTAGATGTCTTAACCTCAGCAATCAGACAACACAAAGAAGTAATAGTCATCCAAACCAGCAAGGAGGAAATCAAACTGTCACCTATGAAAACGACATGATACTGGAAAACCCATAAGGCTCCACCAAAAAACTACTAGAACTGATCCATGAATTCAGCGAAGTCGCAGCATATAAAATCAATGTACAGAAATCAGTTATATTTATATATACTAAAAATAAATCAGCAGAGATAGAAATCAAGGAATCAATCCCATTTACAACTGCACCAAAAAACATTAAATACCCAGGAATAAATCTAACCAAAGAGGTGAAAAATCTACAGTGAAAACTATGAAAAGCTTATGAAAGAAATTGAAGACACCAAAAAATGGAAAAACAACCCATGCTCATGGATTGGAAGAGCAAATATTGTTAAAAGGTCGATACTACCCAAAGTAATCTACACATCCAATGCACTACCTATCAAAATAACACCAGCATACTTCACAGAGCTAGAACAAACAATTTTGAAATCTGGATGCAACCAGAAAAGACCCTGAATAGCCAAAGCAATCCTGAAAAAGAAAATCAGAGCTGGAAGCATCACAATTCTGGACTTCAAGCTGTATTACAAAGCTGTAATCATTAGGACAGTATGGTAAATGGCACAAAAACACAGATCAGTAAATCAAAACAAACACAGAAAACACAGATCAGTAGAAAAGAATAGAGAACCCAGAAATGGACCCACAAATATATGGTCAACTAATCTCTGACAAAGTAGGAAAGAAAATCTACTGGAAAAAAGTCTCTTCAGCAAATGCTGCTGGGGAAACTGAACAGCGATATGCAGAAGAATGAATTTGGGCCACTTTCTTATACCACACATAAAAATAAGCTCAAAATGGATGAAAGACCTAAATGTAAGACAGGAAGCCATCAAAGTCCTAGAGAAGAAAACAAGCAAAAACCTCTCTGACCTCGGCCACAGCAAGTTCTTACTTAACATGTTTCTGGAGGCAAGGGAAACAAAGGCAAAAATGAACTCTTGGGACCTCATCAGGATAAAAAGCTTCTGCACAGTGAAGGAAAACAATCAGCAAAACTAAAAGGCAACTGAAGGAATGGGAAAAGATATTTGCAAATGACATATCAGATAAAAGGTTAGTATCCAAAATCTATAAAGAACTTATCAAACTCAACACCAGTGAAGAACAAATAATCCAGTGAAGAAATGGGCAAAAGACATGAAGAGACACACTTTTGCAAAGAAGACATCCAGATGGCTGACACATGAAAAGATGTTCAACGTCACTCATTATCATGGAAACACAAATCAAAACCACAATGAGACACCACCTCACACTTATCAGAATGGCTAACAGTAACAACTTAAGCAACAACAGATGTTGGTGAGGATGAGGGGAAAGAGGTACTCTTTTGCACTGCAGGTGGGAATGCAAGATGGTGAAGCTACTCTGGAAAAAAGTATGGAGGTTTCTCAAAAAATTAAAACTAAAACTATCCTACGACCCAGCAATTATACTACTAGGTACTTATCTAAAGGATACAGCAGTGCTGATTCAAAGGGGCACATGCACCCCAATGTTTACAGCAGCACTATGGAAAATAGCCAAAGTATGGAAAGACCCCAAATGTCTATCCACTGATGAATGGATAATTATGTGGTGTATGTATATGTATGTATATACCTAATGTATACACACACACACACACACACACACACACACACAACGGAACATTACTCAGTGATTAAAAAGAATGAAATCTTTCATCTGCAACAACGTGTATGGACCAAGAGTGTATTATGCTAAGCAAAATAAGTCAGTTAGAGAAAGACAAATATCATATGATTTCACTCATGTGAAATTTAAGAAACAAAACATATGAACATAGGGAGAGGGAAACAGAAATAAGATAAAAACAGAGAGGGAAACAAATCATAAGATACTCTTAAAAAAAATACAGAGAACAAACTAAGCGCTGCTGGTGGGGTATTGGGTGGGGGGATGGGCTAAATGGGTGATGGGCATTAAGGAGGACACTTGTTGGGATGAGCAGTAGGTGTTATATACAAGTGGATGAATCACTAAATTCTACTCCTGAAATCATTATTATACTATATGTTAATTAAATTGTATGAAAGGAATAAGGAAAAAAAGAAAGAAGAAAAATGAAACAAACTATGGAAACTAAAAAAAAAATTAACAGAGCAAACTCATTTTATCCTACAACTACTCATTTTCCTTAGCCATAAGGAGTAAAATTCATAAATGGCCTGCTACAATAACCTATACATAAGTTAGAATTGATTTCTATCACAGTACTTAAATAATACTTAAGTCATTTTAGTACCAAACATCTATCACTGCATTTTCTAGTTTTTCTATAAGTATGTAGAATTAGATCACAGAAATCCAGAGATTTCTCTGTAACTTCTGTGGTCTTGTCTCAGTCCCCCAAATACAGTCTTGTTTCTCAACTATTTATTTTTCAACTATTTTGCTATATGAATACTGTTCCCTCCAAATCTTACATTTTCTTTTTCCTTTGTTTTCATCTTATAACATCTGAATTCTCTATTATTTTCAATATATTCAAATTGTAAATATGCCTGAAGAACCAAAATGAAAATCTATGTTAAATCTACATTACCGATCTAATTCAGTCCACAATTCTGTCATCTTCTAAACCTCTTAAACATTTACTATCTTATTATTTTTTTGGTGGTTATTTCCACAATTTACTGTTATCTTTTCAAATGTATATGTCACACAATCGTTTGGGTTTTCTAGCCAAGGGATAGGAGCCTTTGGGCAGGAATACTTTCCCACAGCATGCATGCCATAAATATATGTAGATAAAATACATCTTTTATTAGTAACCCCTCAACTTAAGAAACACTGAATACATCAATTATCTAATTCCATACACCAAATACTGAAAAATTACATTTTGAAAAATTACAGAAGCTTCTGTATTATTCTAGCAAGATTTATGTGTTTTATTAAGATGGAATCTTACCTGCAGCAAGATGACAGGATTGATGAAGACGGATTTGTTCCCTGCTTTTAGCCTTATCTACAGAAAGTCCTGAATCATCAAAAGTTGAATTCAATGTTTCTTTGAAACTTTGTAAATCTACTTTTCCCTTATTAGAATCTGGTGTCCTAGGCATTTCCTTTCTCTTCTTAGAAAATGAGTTCAGTGTGATTGATTCAGAAAGTGGTGTACTCATAACTTTTTCTCCTACTGGCAAAGAAAATTGAGAATAACCAGGAGACATCAAATCTTTATCTTTTGCAGCACTCAGTGGAAAACATGCAAAAGTTGTACTCCACTTATCTTCACTTGATGGGACAGTAATGGTTCCACTCGTAGAACTAGCAACATGATTTCGTGGTATTACTGCTTGATTTGAAATATAATTTGCATCTCTTATCTCCTTAATATCTAAACACCTTCTAGATAGATCTAAAAACTTATTATTTGTATCTGATGCATGTTCTAATATTTCATCATCAGACTCTGGACTACAAAATCCTAAATCAAAAGTAACAGAGAATAAATCCTTAGAGCAGTCAAAAACATATTCATCACTCTTCAGTTTTTCCTCATGCATGCCTCTCAAATCTTGATGAGATTTCCAACTATTAGAATCATGGATAATTTGATCTTGAGGTTCAGAATTGTTATCTAACAAAAGTTCATCAGAAATTAAGAACTGAGAGACCAGCGCCATTTCACTTAAAACAGTTTTGTCCGACACACAAAAAGATTTATATTTATTGTTTGAGGGAGAAAGGTTCACATCATTAAACTCTGTATCAACATCTTTGAAAAGTGGTAAACTCTCATCCTGATCAGTGAGCCGTATTGGGAGGCCACTGCTATCCCTATCATAATTTTTTTTTTCAACTAAATACTTTGGAGGGCCTATGTTTATTTGAATATGACTGCGGGATACTAAATTTTCATTTATATTATCTTTATGTACTTTATCAACATAGTCATAGAAGATTTGCTCATCAGAAACTTTATCATTAGCTGCACTATAAAAGCAACTTTTTCTAGAAGAAAATGACATCAAACAGGTAGATTTATCATTTTGTAAATATTCAGTGCAGGGTAGGGAAGGCAAATTTTCAAGTTCAGAACTCTTAGTAATTTCATATTCCAAATTTGAGAGTCCACTGAGAGGTGGAGGAGAATGAGATAAAAATCTCTCTACATTAACTAACACCTCTTTTGTTAAAGAATGACAATTATAAAATCGGTCATCTATTCTAGCTATACAAAGTTCTTCCTCAAATGGAAGAAATAAGCTAGATAAAACATATTTCTCATCAGTGAAACTGTTATAACCAGAATCTAAAAAATTTCTACCAAATGAACTAGATTTATTTGTAGACTGACAATGTATCAATCCATTTGGCTGATGAACAACATTTTCATCGACAGCACATACGGCAGCAGCAACTTCATCTGTATCTGAGTCCCTTTTATCATTTGGCAGGTCTACCTGAAAAATATTTTCAACAGTAGTACCACCATCAGTATCTAAGGAATCCATAACAACATCATTATCTTCTTTTTTAGGCTGATCTTTTTTTAATTCCTTAGAAGATTTTTTCTTTAAAGAAGCAATTTTAATAGGTTTGATATGAGTTTGTTTAAAACTTTCAGCACATTCTTCATCAGATTCTGCCATTGAGAATGAAATGCCTTGATTTATATTCCTTGAAAATGAAGATTTCTTGTTACTAGTAAAGATGCCACTGGCATGAGGATTATATTCATTCTTGGGAGCACTAAATGTTGAGCTAACGTCTTCCATTTGTAAGTAAGATTTAATTTCCGATTCATAGCTGCATTTTCCCTAGGAAATAGGAAAATGAAAAAGTCACAACAAAAAAGCCAATAATAAATGAGTTTACTTTAAGATATTTTCTGAACGGTATTACACTATTCAAATGATTTTTTCTTATAACTTAAAAACTATTCTAAGAAATCAAACAAAATTATAAATGACACTACAGTGTAACTATCATAAATTATCTTTAATCAGTCAATATTTTTGTATCCTCAGAACTTAATACATGAGAGACCCACAATAACTGCAGAAAGAACACATGTAATAAATACATAAGACTATAAACAAAGTTTTTCACTTCTAACATTTAACAACTATTCTAATTTTATATAAATAGATATTTAAGTATTAATATATATAAATGCAAGTCATATACGTATGTTAAATTTACTCTCTTGATAAAGGTAAACTAAGAACAGCTTTTAGAACATCTGAAATAATTGTACAGGTACATCTCCTAGGCTGTAGGCTGGAATATACTATTTTTAACAAATTTCCCAACTCAGAACTCTTAAAGTCAATTTGTAAGAAGTCTCACTTATCTCTAAATCTAAAACTGTATTCCCCTCCATTCCTGACCCACCCATCCCTCTTCTCCCTGAGTGGCTACTTCAGTCAGGATTCCTCTACTATTCAGGGACTTACCAGTTAACTAATTTTTTTGAATAATAAATATACAGTAAGTATTAATTTGAGAATGTTTGTGTCTCTGCTGGTATCTATGCTCCCCAAAGAGTATTTCATTTAGCCAAATGATGTATAACTGGACCTGGGACAGAGATGGGCATATAGAAGTGCAGATTTTGTGGGACCCACAACTAATTACACTTTCTTTATATATATTTATAAACTATAGCTAATAATAAAAATAGCAGATACAATCTATTGAGTGTGCCAGTTACTATTCTTAAGTGTTTTACACATATTAACTCTTAATTCTCAGGACCCTATGAAGGAAGTATTATCATTATCCCCATTTTACAGATGAAACTGAGATCCAGAGAGGTTAAGTAATTTACAGATACTTGATTAATAAGAGGGGAGTTAGGATTCTAAGCTAGGCATTTGGATTTCATACTTATAGCAGGTGCATCATTCTGATTTTCTCAAGGAAGAAGCAGCAAGAAACTGCTCAAGGATTCAATAATTCTCTCAACTACCACCAGGATATAAGAGACCTACAAAATGACCTATGTGATGAAGAATATTTCAATAAATCCCAATCTAATAAGAATCCTAAATCAGCTTTACTAACAGTTTATATAAATCATCAGTATATTAAAATTTTACTCTGGTTTATCTATATTTTAGATGATATTCTTCTAATTAAGTCTACTTCTTCACCTAAGGCAGAAAATTAGTTCCCTATTAAGATTACAAAGAACTTTATAAGAAATCAAAGTATTCTAACTATAATTATTTAAATTAAATACTTGTTTCTTATAATTATAACTTCACATTAAGAATAAATATCAAATATTCTAGTTTCACCATCATATCAGTAAGAAAAAGTTACAATAAAACTCTACCTCTTCATGTCTCATTCCTTCTATCATTTGCATAATGCTTATAAAATGGTGGCAACGATCAGAATGGTCCACTTGATACGTAGGAAGAGGATGATCCTGCCACACTCTCCATTCAGATAGAGAGAGTTGACGAATTCCAATGGTTGGTTCTTGAGTCTTGAATAATGATTTTAAAAATAGTAAAAATGATAAATACAGATACTCAGATTTCATAAACTGATTAAAAAAACCATATACAGATATTCACCCTACTATAAATAATCTGAATTCATTTGAGTGTTTTCAGCTAAAATCTCAGGAGAATAAAGAAAATTATTGCCTGCAGTACAAAGATGCCCTTTTAAATACATTTTAAAAGTACCTATTATATGAGGAGCACCTGGATGGCTTAGTTGGTTAAGCATCTGACTCTTGATTTTGGCTCAGATCATGATCTCACCGTTCATGAGTTTAAGCCCTGCATCAGGCTCCCACTGGCAGCACATAGCCTGCTTGGGATTCTCTCCTTCTCCTCTCTGCCCCCTGCCTCCCTCTCTCTCTCTGTGTCTCCCTCACTCACATGCTATTTCTCTCTCTCAAAATAAACTAAAAAAAAAAGTTTTACATAGTTTCAAAAAAAAGTGTGTACAAGGATACTCATGACAGAATGATTTTGTTAGTAACATATTGAAAAGAATTCCAGAAACACAATAGGAAACTAAGTAGTCAAGCAAACTGGTATACTGCAGAGTAACATAACAACTATGTAAATTATGCCTATATGGAAAGGCTCATACAGTAGAAAGTAATGGGAAAAAGGCAGATATTATGTAAATATACTACAGTCAAATAAAAATAAATACACAATAAAACTATAAAGAAATTCGTAATTCTACAAACTTAGACTTTAATATTCTTTTTAAACTGTTTACATTCTTAATTTTTTAAGTAAGTTGACATTCTGATCATGCACATTCCTCTCTACTCCCAAAGCTATTTCACAATCACTCTAAAGAGCATCTGAAAATATGTTCAACTTACTGGTCTGTCTTCCTCATTTTCTAAAGATAAAAACTTAACTTGAGGCAATGTTATTTCCTTAATTTCATCAGTGTCTCTTAATCTATAAAGTTTGTTCCATAAATTAAATTCTTCTGTGGATAGGAACCAATCTTTCTTTGAATTACTTTGCTTCATTCCTACAAGTTGAAAAAATAATTGAAAAGAAGTTTTAAAAAATCTGCTAAGCAAACACAAAATACACAACATTAACTCAAACTCTCTACCTGTTTATATCTATTTGTTTGCTAAATGACTGATTCTCTTCCTTAAAACTAGTATTCTTCACATAATCATTTGGTTATGACCTCTTTCGAAGTACTAGTACAACCTCCTGTCCAGAAGCTAACTTTCCATAATGACTTCACGAATATAACAGAGCCAGGTAGCTACGCTATCAATCCGTGTTCATTTTGGACTCCCTCCATGTTGTTGTCTAAGATCTGACACAAGAGAGTCAAAAAACTTACAACTGAAAACTGGTATGATTCTATCACTGTCATCTAAAAGATTATCTGAAGCTTGGTTGGAGGCAAGGGAAGATGTCAAGACTAAATAGGGTTTTCAGTGTTAAGTCTTAAGTGAGGGGGGACTTGGAATAGACAGAAAAGACCTGCTTCAAAAAATGAAATAATATACTTAAAAAAAAAAAGTATACTAAATTCGGGTACCTAGGTGGCACAGTTGGTTAAGCATCCAACTCTTGATCTTGGCTCAGGTCATGGGGTCAGGATCTCATGATTTGTGGGTTTGAGCCCGTATTAGGCTCTGTTCTGGCAGCACAGAACCTACTTTTGATTCTCTCTCTCTCTCTCTCTCTCTCTCTCTTCCCCACCCCAACTCAAGCTTTCTCTCTCTCAAAATATTCTCTCTCTCTGGCCCTTCCTGACTCATGATTTCTCTCTCTCAAAATATTCTCTCTCTGCCCCTCCCCAACTCATGTTTTCTCTCCCTCAGAGTAAATTAAAAACTTTAAAAAAAAAAAAAAAAAAGCTTTGTTAAATAACAAGTTTGAATTTTCAGATCCCTCTGAGATCTAACAATCCGAGGCTCTAAGACTTTTAAAATAGGAAGGCATTACTATCTTTTAGGCACTTTAAATAAAGTTTAGATCTCTAAGCCCAGATGAATCATATACTAATATACAGAAGATTACATTTATACATACAATCTTAGCAAGAAGAATCACTGACACTTGAAAACTCAGGGAGAATGTGGAAGAATGAACATGAGCTAGTATCTCAATTGAAAAAAAAACAGATTCTAGAATTTTACTAAAGAAATATGTCTCCATCTCCAGTTACATTTTAGAAACAATTATTAAACATACAGTTTATTTTAACATTTACAAAAACACAATGATCACTAAGAATAATTAATGCCAAGTTAATCAAGTTTTGATACTATTATATTAGTTAAATAAATTCAAAAGAATCCAAAATACAGTTGACTCTTAAACAATTCAGGGGTTAGGTTACCCCCCAGCTGAAAACGGGCACTTAACTTTTGGCTCCCCAAAAACTTAACTACTAATAGCCCTACTGTTGTTTGGAAGCCTTACTGATAACATAAACAGTCAATTAACATATATGTTTCCTATATTTTATGCATTATTAACTATATTCTTATAATAAATGTAGAAAATTATTAAGAAAAACCATAAGAGAAAATACATTTACAGTATTAAGCTATATTTACTAAAAAAAAAAACTACATAAAATTGGACCCCACACAGTTAGACCAATGTTGTTCACAGATCAACTATACACACAAACTTTTCACTTTAACCAAAGATCTGGCAAAGTAGTGTAAAATGACAGGTATATTCCTATTAAGTATATTTGTTTGAGGTTTAATAGGCATATCCAACAAGCACTAATTAACAGCTCTGAATTAAGGGAGAGAACATTAACAAAGTGAATCCAAAGCAAGTGACTAGGAGGGAAAGGATCTTGAAACTTCATGGTATGAAAACCAGTAGAACAGTTAAATTTGAGAGGTATTGTCTTCAAATATAAAAAGTGCTACATAAGTACACAAAAGATCAAACCCATTCCTTGTATCTAAAAGATAAAACTAAATCACTGAGAAAAAGGTACAAACACAGATTTTTCAACATAAAAAAGAAGCTTCTTCTGTATAGGGCTTCTACACAGAGAATGAACCTTATTTATAAAGAAATACAATCTTGGGATTAAAAGATATTCAAGTGGAGACTGGATATGCAGTTAGGATTCCTTATTTAACAAGAATACTGAATGTAGATCAAAACCACAAAGAAACATCACCTCCAGCTGTTAGGATGACTACTCTCAAAAACGTGAAACATAACAAGTTTTGGTGAGGATATGGAGAAATTTGAATCCCTATATATTGTTGGTAAGGTCATAGATTTGCATAGCTGTTAGAGACAGCAGCATGGAGGTTCCTCAAAAAATTAAAAATAGAACTACCACAGGATCCAGTAATTCTATTTCTGGGTACATATCCAAAAGAACTAAAATCAGGATCTCAAAAAGATACACACACACCCAAGTACACTGTAGCAGTATTCACTATTTGTAAGAAATGTAAGCAATCCAAATGTCCACTGACAGATGAACAAAAAGAGAAAATGTGGTATGTACATACAATGGAAAGTTATTTAACCTTAAAAAAAGAAATCCTAACTGGAACACCTGGGTGGCTCAGTCAGTTAAGCATCCAACTCTTGATTTCTGCTCAGGTCATGAACTTATGATTATGAGATCAAGCCCCATACTGGGCTCTGCACTGGGTGTGGAGCCTGTTTAAGATTCTCTCTCTCCCTATGCACCTATACAACCCTCAAAAAACAAAAACAAAAACAAACAAACAAGAACAAAACAAGCCTACCATTTGCTACAACATGAATGAACCTATAGGAAATTATGGTAAGGGAAATAAGCCAGTCACAGAAGCACGCATACCATATAACTTGACCAAAGATATGTCATCTAAAATAATAAAACTCATACAATCAGAGAATAGAATGGTGTTGCCAGGGGCTGGGTGGAGAGAAAAGTTGGGAGTTCTTGCTCAAAACATCTCAAGTCCAGTTGTATAAGATGAATACATTCTCGAGAACTGCTGTACAACATAGTGCCTGTAGTTACCAAACGATATTCTTCTTAAAATATTTTTAAAAGTAGCTGCAGAAACCACTCTTATCTTGATAGGTGATTTGACCAGATGATCCCCAAGGTTCCTTCCAAATCTTAAAATATAACTATATGATTTTAGTTAAAGATTAAAATTTAAAAGAAAAAATTTTTAGTTTCTCTTATTTATAGTGCTAACATTTCAAGATATTTTTTTGAAATCACCAAAATCTCTGCAGTTCTTAAACTAGGAACTCTTATTACTAGCTATGCTCCCAGGCACCAAAGTATTTGTTTCTCACTGACTCAGTATTACCAGGAACTTGGTCTAACTTGGCCAGTATCTCATATAAGAATAATTAAAAAAAAAAATCTCTTTTGCAGAAAGGGAAAGTAACCATTCCCTTTCCTTACCTTTTAATTTTTTTTTAATTTCTTTATTTAAATAGGCTCCTTGCCCAATGTGGAGCTTGAACTTACAACCCTAAGATGAAGAGTCAGGTGCTCTACCCACTAAGCCAGCCAGGAGTCCCCATTCCCCTACCTTTCCTTAAAACAATTCCAGAGACCCCTAATGTTTGTAAATCTCTTAACTCTTTGATATTATATGCAAACCTCTGTAAAGTCTGAGCCTCTAGTTAGTAGCATTTCAACCAGAGAAGCTTTTTTAAGGATGTAGGAGCTCTCTCTGAAATGTAAACATCAAGGAAGATAGTGACTCTCTCTCCCAGTTACCAGTGGAGTTTAGCCCTAGGCACCATTCTCTTCACATCTATTTGCAAAGATAAGAGAAGTCTTATTTCTTTGAATAAAGGCAACTAAAGCTAACACAAGTGGCTACCTCAATTACCGGGTGAACTGAAGATGAACTATGAAAAAAGATACAGCAAAAGGTGCTATCCTCTTATGTGCAGTAAGTTACTATTAATCTTGAGAATATGTGTGTAAAGAATTATGACTGCCTAAAGGGATGTATAGGGTAGAATTTCTGTTTCGTTTTATCTTAGTGGATTGTCTATGATGCACACTATAATCTGATTCAATGTTTATTCAATAATAAAACTGTTTTTCTTCCTTTTCTATATTTTGTAAAGAGGAGTCTCTGAGTTGGTAGGCCATTTTTAATCTAACCAACACTGAGTTTCTGTCACTGTCACTGTCTGCTTCCCTTTGGCAGCTGAATAATCTCTTACCCTCTCCAACAACCATAACATCCTAAAATGTACACTGAGTTTCTCAAAAAGGAAATATATCAACATGTGGCCTGTTAACTAACAACAGGGGGTAAAAAATGCATGGTTCAAATGCAAAGTTTTTTACTCACCATTCTTATAGGAAAAGATAGAGGACTTCCGCTGCAAGTTCCTAGAAGGCTTCTCTGGTTCATAGACACCACACGTGATGAACATCTTATGTAATTCTGGATTGATTCCATCAGGCACCATTCGTGGACTTCCTTGGTAAAAATGAAGAACTTGCCTGTTACCTGAAATAGCTTTATAAATACTTCTTTTGTTGGACTGACTTTGATTATAAGTCTGCAAAGACAAATGTCAAATTACATTATTTCTATAATAATCATTTAGCTATGACAAGAAGTTTGGATTTATTATAAACAGTAAATTGACTCTGATCCACTTAAATACTGAGAATACCTGTCTTGAATTTGAGGCCTATTCAATTAACCCTTGAAAATCGGTTCAAAATCTAATATTATAAAAGCCTACCTTTATAATTATATTGCACAAAGGAAATCTATCTTTTATTTAGGATCTTGCCATTTTTGAATACAGCAAATATTTATATGTAAGTGTAAATTGCTTTTTTTAAAATACTATTCCCTTATTCCAGCTTGTTACTCCAGTGTAGTTACTCTCTACACTTCAGCTTTCTTTATACTGTATACATTTAAGTGAGATAATGTTTCTGAAGCACTTAGAACAGTGCCGAGGAGAGCAGGTGCTCATTAAATGTGGGCAATTATGACTAGTTTGCAAATAAGAAAATTAACATCTGAACACAGAGGTTAAGTGGTTTGCCTAAGATAATACAATTATAACCTAATTCCACTTATACGTACACATATTTTACAAGCTGCCAGATATTTCATTTATTGAAACCATTTTATAGATCAACTGAATGTTACATAATATGCTATAATCACATGAAAAGTATCTGGAGAGAAATTCATTTTTCAGGATGAATTTTAAAGGGGTCTATAAAATATTTTAAACCAATTTTTTAAAACTACCATAATCAATTAATGAAAAAAATCCAGTATGAAACTACATATTGGGACAAGGAAATAATCCCATTGAGTTGTAAAAGTTACTTAATACTTTAGTGTAAAAACACAAAATAATATTAAATACGCTATCATATTTAAGGAAGATCTGTCACTCAAGATTGTTGCAAAGTATGAATATAATTCAAGTCCCTTATCACTTTAAATAGACATCAACAAACTTTTCCATTAAGGGACAGAAAGTAAATATTTCAGATTTTGCAGGCCACATAATATCTCTGGCACATATTCTTGTTGGTTGTGGTTTAGGCAACTCTTTTAAAACGTAAAAAGCAGGGCACCTGGGTGGCTCAGTATGTTGGTTATCCAACTCCTGATTTCCACTCAGGTCATCATCTCACAGTTTGTGGGTTCAAGCCCAGAGTCAGGCTCTGCACTGCCAATGCAGGGCCTGCTTGTGATTCTCTCTTCCCGTTCCTCCCCTCCCCCCGCCCCCGTCTTTCTACCCCTTCCCCACTCACACACTGTGCACTCTCTCTCAAAATAAGCTTAAATAAATAAAGTATAAAAACCTTTCTCAGTCACTGTATTTAAAAATAAAAGAAAAAAGTAAAAATTAAGAAAACAAGCCATAGAAGCACAGGGAAATAGTAAAACAAAATAATACAAAAATACTGATTTTTTTGTGTCTCTAAATTAGTACTGAAGTACAAAAATGTGTTTCTTCATATGGATAAAAATTAGAAAACTGAATCCAGTGAAGAATTCTCCCAATTACAAGAAAGGAATAGTCATAATCTACTACAAAGTGGGGGAGGAAAAACCAACCACAATTTCCTATAGATTGTTTCGACTTTGAATGTTAACAGATTGATATTTGTCTTAGGCTATATTTCTCAAATATCAATTATCAAATCGTGTTTCTACAAGTCTACTTACACGTTCTTCTCGTCCTTCAGCAAGGATAACAACAATTCTGCCTTGACGTTTGCGGCCAGTTCTACCCATTCGTTGTATAAGACGAATCGGGCTCTTCTGAGCATCAAAACATATTATAAGATCAACTTCGCCTATATCCAAACCTTCCTCACCAACACAAGTAGAAACCAATGTATTATAACCACCACTTCGAAACTGTTTCACAACCTAAAATAAGAATGATTTAAAAATAACCAGATATAAATATAAGAGTCTTATAGATCAAAGCACACTTTTTCCACTTACCCCAAAATGGTAAAGTTGGATTATAAATCAGAATCCAGAGCACTATGGAATAGGAAAAGAAGTGGCAAAATGGCAATATAAACCAGAACAGATTGAGGTAAAATGCAAAGAGCAGTCCTAATGCTTTGCTTTCATAATGGCTGTGATGCCAAAATCGTTTGCTGTTTACTCATAAATGAGAAATCCCTGATATTATTTAGCATCACTAAAAGAACCACAGGCAGGTAAGTGACCCAGAGCAATTACTGCTACTTAATCATATCCTAGACTTAAATTTATTTTTTGGTGTACCTAAAGTAGAAATTTTTACTACTTCTAAAAGGCCTATCTTACCTTTTATATTGCCATTCCAATGTAGGGTAGCAGGCTATTGCATCCCAAAAATAGGACTGTGGGAGTCTAGGACGTACTACCTTGAAATATGTTGCTTTGATATATTGATAATTTTGAGCTGTAGACACTTGAAAAACAGCAAAAGCAGGCAAACACTGCTTTTATCTCTCCTTTTATCTGTCCAAAAACAGATCCTCCAAAAGGAACTCAAATGTCATAAATCCCCTCCCTGGGATTTTCATCAACCAGAAAAAACTGACTCAACACAAGGAGAAGCAACTAAAAGTTATTCCTGCACTCAGACAAACTTGATTATACACTATCACACCTCCCATTTTTCTTCTAAGGGCCCATTCATCTTTACTAAAAATCAATTAATGTCTCCTTAGGAGCCTACATCCCTCCTCTCATTTCCCTATTAAGATGGTTTTTAAGGGGCACCTGGGTGGCTCAGTCAGTTGAGCACCTGACTTCCACTCAGGTCATGATCTCCCAGTTCACGGGTTCGAGCCTAGCGTCAGGCTCTGTGCTGACAGCTCAGAGCCTGGAGCTTGCTTTGGATTCTGTGTCTCCCTCTCTCCTGCCAACCCCTCCCCCACCCCCCAACTTGCACTCTGTCTCTCTCTCTTTCAAAAATAAATGAACACAAAAACAATTTTTTTTTAAAGATAGTATTTAAGTCTGAATTCTAAGCCACCTTAGGGAGTTACTGATTCTTCCCTGAGTCTCTCCCATATATAACATAAGATATACATGTTAATAAACTTGTTTTTCTCTTGTTAAGCTGCCTTTTATTACAGGGGGCTCAGCTAACAGTCAAAAAGGAATAATTATTTTTCCTCTTATATACTAGGATTTCTATCACTTTAATAAAATTACAGTAGCATAAGAATGAATAAAATGTCAATGAAACATTTTTAAAAAACTTCCTTAAGCCTTAAAAACTTAAATCTGAACTGCTCTGAGCCTCAGTTTCTCCATGTATCAAAGTTGCAGTTTTGTATGTGGTAGACACAAGCAGTAATAAGATAATGTTCAACAGACAGAGAATAGAAACAAAAGTAGAATGATAGTATTCCAGAGGAATCAGTCATGCATTTGACTAAAGCCTCTATAAATGCCTATTAAAATATCAGAATATCTGATGCAGGGCTCCATTCCACAATCCTGGGATCATGACGTGAGCCAAATCAAGTGTCGGGACCTCAACCATCTGAGCCGCCCAGGTGCCCCATCCTTAAACTAGCTCTATTGTTGAAAACAACAACCTCAAAAGCAGAATTATAAATGTAAACTTATTATGTTAAATCCTCTTGTAAACATTTCCAGTAGCTTAGTAAAAGGGTTTCCTTTGATATGAAAAACCTCAGAGTACACGGAAAACCAGTGATCGTGATTAAAAGTTAAGATTAATCATTTCCCTTTGGAATCTGGAATCACATTAAGCCAAGGAAAGACTGACATAATATTACCTATATACAACGTAAAACAGATGTCCTCTTTGCTCCCCAACCCCAAAAAACTGGGTTACGGTGTTAGAAATGTAAAAGAAAAATAATTCTTTAATATAAAGTTAACAGATTAATAAAGGATAGCTGAGATACATTTTAGTTAACATGTATAAATAAAATTGTTATTTGCCTAACACTGACTAATTTGCCTGGACTTTGAAAAATAAATATAATAAATATGAATCAGAGGGGGCGCCTGGGTGGCTCAGTCGGTTAAGCGTCCGACTTCGGCTCAGGTCATGATCTCACAATTCGTGGGTTCGAGCCACGCGTCAGGCTCTGTGAGGACAGTTAGCTCAGAGCCTGGAGCCTGTTTCAGATTCTGTGTCTCCCTCTCTCTCTGACCTTCCCCTGCTCACACTGTCTCTCTCTCTCAGAAATAAATAAAACATTTTAAAAAATACGAATCAGAGGTATTTAATTAATTATAGAAAGGGATACATGATTAAATAAATTCGACCAGGATTTATAATCCACTGATCCTACCTATTGCTTACACTTTACCTTACTCCCCTTGTTTCACTCTTACTTTATAGTCCTCTGACTAAACTCCACCACAGGATATATCCCACTTTCCAACAAAATCTGAGCCTGTACCCACATAGGTGAATGGAAGAAAATACCAACCATTCTGACTAGTTTCACTTTAAACTCATAATCTCTCACTTAGTGGGCCTTTAGTGCTACCTGAAAATCATTTCATATTCCCTAATCCATTCACTTTCCCCATTCTCCTAGGAAATTGTATACTCCTCTCGCCTACATCCAATATTTCCTCCCATCCTCATTCTTGGCTGATGATAGGACAAAAACTAAGCAATCAAAAAAGACCTCCCACAAGATGTCACTGTCACATCTACTTACCCACCTGTATCTGTGCCTATGTAATCCACCTTCCCTCCTGCTCTTTTGGATAAACTGCTTTCTTAACAGAGATCAGCTCCTATAGTTTTGTATATTAGATCCCATCTGTTTCCTTCATCTACTCAAAGATTATACTAGCAATACTCTTGTCTCTATTAATTTTTCGGGCCGCCTGGGTGGCTCAGTCAGTTAAGTGTCTGACTTCAGCTCAGGTCATTATCTCATGGTTCGTGGGATCAAGCCCCGCATCAGGCTCTGTGCTGACAGCTAGCTCAGAGCCTGGAGCCTGTTTCAGATTCTGTGTCTCCCTCTCTCTCCAACCCTCCCCTGCTCATGCTGTCTCTATCTCTCTCTCAAAAATAAATAAAATATTAAAAAAAAAAACAACACAATTTTTCTTTCTCAGTTGATCGCTCCTATCAGTATACAAACCTATTGTTGTATCTCCTAATATCAAAGAAATAACACAACACTTCCATCTCTGCTCTCCTTTACAGCAAAAATTCTTGAAAGACCTGTATACTTGCTATCTCTAGGTCTTCTCTTCCTATTCTCTCTTGAAAATACCTCAGTCTTGTCCCAACCATTCCACTAAAACCTATTCAAGGTCATCTGCCTTCTTATCTCTTAATCCAATGGTCAATTCCCATTTTTCATCTCATATGATCTACTAGCAACACTTAATCAGTTCCTCCTCCTCATGTGACCCACGGGTATCACACTCTCCTGGTTTTTCTACTATTACTAGCTACTTACTCTGATTCCCAAGGAAATCATAATCATTGCTTATACTCATAACAATGAACCCTTGGCTCTGTCTTTAGACATCTTCTCTATCTCTATTTCATCACTTGGTAATTTCATTCAGTCTTACTTAATGATGATTCCCAAATATTTATTTCCAGAATCCCATGAGCTCATGAACTTAAAATTTATATATTCAACATCTCTACTGGATGTTTAAAACAATGCAACTCAAAGTGTAGTTCATGAATTGTTTATTACTGTTGTGGTTCAGGTGTTTAGAAATTTGACAGAGTAATACCATGTTTGTTGGCTTTAATAATAGAAAATCTGGCCATGAATATTGTTTTCATTAATTTTATTTTATTAGTAATTCATTTTTATTGTAATGTTCAAAACTATCTGTGACATGCTAAGAGGAAATAAACTAGTCCTCCATCAATTTTGATACTCTAAAAAACACTAATCTCAAGCATGTCAAAGTTAACTCATCCAGAACCAAGCTCCTGGTATTTCTCTCCAAAACCTCTTTTCCTATAGTCTTATCCATCTTCGTTAATAGCAGCTCTTTTCAGTTACTCAAGCTAAATTCCTGGAATCATTGTTGGAGCCAGCCTTCACCCTCCTCAATCTCAGACCCCACTTTAATTTGTCAATAAATTCCATCAGCTTGACCTTCAAAATATATCCAGAATCCAACCATTCTCACAACCTTCCATGCTACCACTCTAGTCTAAGCCACCATCATCCTTAGCTTGGTATTATAATAAGTCTTCCAGTTGGTCTTCCTGTTTCCACCTTTAGTCCCCTATACTTTATTCTGAAGATAGCAACCATTGGGATTCCAAGTTGTAACCATCTGTTTCCAACTCTCTAAAAGGACTTCTTTTCCCATCTCACTCAGAGTAAAAGCCAAAGTTACTGAAATGGATATATCCACTTACATCACTGCACAGATTATCTAAATTGAAAATAAACAAGTGACACACTGAACCAGATGTACTTAACATATTCAGAACATCCAATCCTGTAACAGAATACCCATTCTTTTCAAGTGTACATGGAATAGTCTGCAGAATAGGTAACATATTAGATCACAAAACAGGTCCCAACAAATTCACAAAGATTGAGAGCATACCATGTACCTTATCTGACCACAATGCTATGAAACAAAGTCAACCACATGAAAAATTTGGAAAGACCACAAATACATAGAGGTTAAAAAACATCCTACTACTGGGGTGCCTGGGTGGCTTAGTCGGTTAAGCGTCCGACTTTCCGACTTTCGCTTAGGTCATGATCTCGCGGTTTGTGGGTTCGAGCCCCGCGTCGGGCTCTGTGCTGACTGCCAGCTTGGAGCCTGGAGCCTGTTTCAGTCTGTGACTCCCTCTCTCTCTGTCCCTCCCCTGCTCACGCTGTCTCTCTCTCCTAGAAATAAATAAAACATTTAAAAAAAAAAACAAACAAAAA